ATTATATATATATATTATATTATATATATTATATATATATATATATATTATATTATATTATATTATATTATATATATATTATATATATATATTATATTATATATATATATATATATATATATATATATATATATATATATATTTATATATATATATAGTTAAGTTATGAAGAACTTGGTAATCTGTTTGTGTAACCCCAAGGAGGACGAAATCATGAGAGCTCAATGTAAATCTAGAGCTAATATTTTAAAGAAAAACAGACCACTTTAAGGTTCCATTATAATAATTTATTTCCCCAGAGCCCTTTTAAAGGACGCCGGATCATCAGATAGCACTTCCAAAAATGAAATGAAACTAAAAATGAAATTAAAATTGATGGGTAATGTAAGTTTTTGTAATTTAACAGAGAGTGTAAAAGGAGTAGTTAAAGAGACATGGTAAAGTATAGGGAGGGATTAATTTCATATCTCTCTCAAACATACTTTGTATTGGGGGAGGAGGAGTGACCAGACCTTGACCTATTTAGACGGTTAACTTAACTTTAATTCTGATCGATTTATGTCGGTTTTTTTCCTTTTACAACATCCCTCTTATATTTATAATCATTCACTTATACACATATTCTACATTATACATAGAGTTGCCATCAAGTTATACAGTGCTTTTCTTGTTTCATCGGATATTTCAAACACTTTTCGAGATCTTTTTACTAGGAATGAAAGTATATCAATTTCTCTCAATTTTTTCTTTCTTTGAAGAAGCTATATCGCGTCTTAAATTCCCTAAGAACATATACATATATATATGTGTGTGTGTGCGTGTGTGTGTGTTTCCAAAAACCTGACCGAATAACTGGAGAATCCTTAGTATCAATTTTCCATTTGCCAAGTCTCCCACCTCCGATTCTACAATCCATTCACACGAGTATCTCTCACTTATCCTCACTCTTGCTGTATGAGAGTTTTCCAAGCGCTCCTTCCTCATGATTTATCCAAGATATTTCAGGCTTCTCTTTCTGATTCTAAGTATAAGTGTTCTTTTTGTTACTAGTTTATTTAAAACTTCCTCGTTCCTTACTCGTTCGAACAATGGAATTCTCAGTATTCTTCTGTAGAACAATATTTCTGTTTCATCCCTGTCATGCTAGAGAACTGATATCACATACCAATTCAGCACATTTTTCTTTGTTTCTAACAACTATTTTATGTTTGTTAATACCTTGTTTAACGTTTGGAATGCATCTTTCGCTATCAAATTACAGAATCCACATCACTCGAAGACTTTCAACAGCCGCATCAATTAAAATGGATAGCATATGCAACTGGAAGAATGAAGAATGACATAATAATGAAAAAGTTAGGAAATAAGGCACCATCAAGATTGGAATGAGCAATAAGTGTCGGTGGACTTGAGGAAACGTATTTTACTGAAAAATTGTTTTAACAGAAAGATTTTATAAATTTCAATCAATAGTAGCACTGGCTGCTTCGGTCAATAAACACAAAATGTTTCCTTAAAAGAAAATATTTAATATTAAAATTACAATTAAATATTTATTTTGTTAACAAACCCAAACTCTGGGAAATTTTCATTCATCCGCTGTATTTACTGGATATTGTACCTGATTTTTACGGAATTCTTTTAATGAAAAAAATTAATTTCTCTTGAAAATCACCGCACCGTGAACAGTTTTTTGCTGAGAAAGATAAGTTCTGGGAGGATGGAATGAAGTTGACTGAACAATGATCCGAAAATTTGGCAAGAAAATGGCAAATATGTTGTTCAATAAAATCAAAATTGAAACAAAATGTTTATTTTTATTTAATAAATCAAATTTAAAATGTCACGTCACTAAATTATGTACATTGATAAAACTATTGATAAAAAATGTATTTTACAAAAGAAAAGTTTATTTGTTTTGTTTTTTGTTTGTTTTTTGGGGGGGGTGATTTTTTGTTTTTGTTTGTTTGTTTTTGTTTTTTGTTTTTTGTTTTGTTTTTTTTTTTTTACCATAATCATCTTTCGGTCACTTAATTCCGTGCTGAATATTAATCCCATAGATAGAATATAATAGAATTAAAATTTCAGGTCAATTTCTCTAAATAACTATACGCCATCTATACACAAACATTTAGAATTGTATTTGTGTATGTCCAAATTAAGTAAAGAGGCCCGGGATAAAATCAATTCGACCATCGTCCTTCACAAGAAAGGATTTTTTTTTTTTTTTTTTACGAAAGCGAAAAATAAATCAAAGTGATAGATTCGAAGATTGACAGCGTCAGTTTTCATATTAGTGCGTGTCTACGGGAACTCCATTAAGTGTGTAACGGAATGGACAATGAAGCATAGCTGACAGGCACGCAGAAGTTCTCATTCAATACTTAACGCCTGCACCAACCATGGGCCATTACAGGCGAAGGTTTTTAGAAAATAATTTGATTCAAGCCCTTCCCAGAAATCAATTCCTGGCAAACTTAATCTGTTTATGTAAGTTTCACGGGCGCAAACCGTAGAGTGCTTCTTAGCGAGCTCGTCATTGATTACATGATATTTATTACTATATGAATTTTACATGTTCTGTATTAAAACGATTCACGGAAATTTTTTCCTTTGTTCACCAAATAACCAACATCGTCATCATCCTGCAATTATACATTAATGATTATTCTTTTGTGGCAATTAGAGGAAGTTTTTTCATCATTTTCCTCCTCGATTTTCTACCTTTCATCTTTAATCCCAAAGTCGAGGCCAAAAAATACAAAACAAAATTAACGATTTCACACCAAATGATAAACAAAGCCGAGTGATTTGGAAATCGGGGAGAGCTGCATTACTCTGTGTCTCACCTGATATTCTTCTGACTGGCCGATCGATTGATTAATCCATGAATCAATCAGTTAGCCGCACGGTACAGATGTTTTTCTTTGTGGTATCGGAATCCGTCTAGGCAAAAATTCGACTCTATTAAAAAGAAATGGAATTTCTTTCTCGATTAATGAACAAACAGAACTTTTAATAAAAATGCGGCGTTCATATTTAAAATTGAAATAAACGCTATTGCAAATTGCTAAGTTCAATGGCAGTAATTTTGACCAAGACATTTTTGGCAAATTTCTTTTACTCTTTAAAGTAAGAATGAATTATTTTTTGTAAAAATAATTAAATATACATTACTTTTTGATTTATCAGCAACCCCTCGTATATATATATATATATATATATATATATATATATATATATATATATATAAAAAGCCATTGGTTTATACCAACGGCTTCCCATACTTCATACTTCTCCAATTCACTCTCGCGTGGTTATATGTGACGTCATGAGATGCGGTGCGATTTTCGCTTCTAGCGTCTTATATGCACGTGTTTATCGTTGCTTAGAAACCATCTATGTAAACAATCACAGACTATCATCACTGTCTCGTCCGTATATGGCTTAATATGTTATAATTGACATCTTTGATAATGGCTTACGTAAGCCGAAAGCTTAGATTGTATTAAAAAATATGGATCAATATTGTGAATTTCTTTCTTCGTTCAATGATAATGTTATTAAACTTATCAGACGTTATGAAAAGAATTTACATAAAATAAATAGACAACACTTGTCTATATTATTTAATGAAACGTATATATATATATATATATATATATATATATATATATATATTTCAAAATATCGTCAAATTCTTTGAAGAAGTCATCGCATTTGTACCAAATACTTTAATAGCTGATGATATTCTTTTAATTAGAAGATTTTGTACACAAAATTCCGAAATTTTTTAAATCAACCTGAATATGAATAAACTAAGTTACTAGTCGTTTTCAAAGAAGAATTAAATTCATTTGTTTTGATTACATTGTTGTAAATAAATTTCAATTTTGTTTTCTTAGTCTCTCTCACCACTGCTGTGTTGCTACTTCCTACAACGTTTTATTCAGCTCTTTATCAAGTGTATAAATCGAGGAATACAGTTGAGTAATTGTTGTCTTTGGCCTCGCTTTTGTGAATGAACTGGACTTAACACTGAAGTAACCAAAAATTAATTGCTAATTGCTGCGTTTGAAGCCCATGAATATATACAGCAACTGGTCAGCCATAATTGCATCTATATAGGGGAAAAGAAAAACTGTCAATACAAATTTCTAGTGCATGAACTACCAACTTGTAAAATACTATGTTGTTCATGTAATGGGTTTCCAAAGATCGTATTTTCTGCCATATGGGAGACTTCGGTGTATAATATTCACTCCTAACTCTAGGGGGAAAATTACTGTCTTTTTTCATCAAGACTTCACAGACTTATAAAGTACACATAGTTTATTATGCTTTTTTTTACTTATGTTCACCTAATACAAAGTCCAAGAGCCACTAAAGTTAGAGGGTTACTGAATGAACTGTATGATATAAATATAAGAGGAGGAAGGGAAGATTATATGAATATGAAGAATAATGATTGACCCGAAACTTGAATAAGTTAAAACTGTAGAATTCTAAGATGCATCCATTCGTGAATGTGTTCGACAAAGAATTAGAAAGAAACTTTCTGAACGGAACATCCTTCTTACCAAAAGAATAATTTTGGAATGATGGTGATTCAGGCCTGTGGTCGTAGCAAGGCGCGTCTAGGTTGATAAGGTCTGGGTTGATTCCCTTAAAAGATGTAATTTTTTAGAACATTTGCCATGAAAGTAGTGATGAAGTAAGACAGATTACAATAAAACTGAGATGCGTTTAGTTAAGAAATTTTCAGACGAACAGAAGAGTGTGGTTGTGAGTCACTACAACCTCAAGTCCAACTCCAAATAGTAATTTTAAGCAAAATGTAAATGCTCATTAACTCATAAAATGACGTTGATATATATATATATATATATATATATATATATATATATATATATATATATATATATATATATATATATATATATATTACGTGGAAAAATGTCACGGCGCTAATTTTAAAAACCCTAGAATCTTGGGCACACATCTGATATAGGTAAATATAGATATAAATAGATAGAGAAAGGAAGAAAGATTGATTAAGCCTGCCAATAACAGATTTTTAACTACTCTTCTATATCCTGTATCCCAAGATAGATAGATAGATAGATAGATAGATAGATAGATAGATAGATAGATAGATATGAACAGACCGTGATAGATAGATAGATAGATAGATAGATAGATAGATAGATAGATAGATAGATACTATAAATCTTGAAAAGTTATCACCCTGTCCAATTGGGGAATTTTTTTAAAGTAGGTGTAGTCACTTGGTCAGATTTTCATAAGTGAATTTCTCCAAGAACTTTTCACCCGGCTTATATGTAGATTAAGAGAGAAAAAAGAAAAGATTATTAAATCAATATTTGTGATGCTATCTTTCTCTCTACTTCACTATGGCTGCTACTTTTAAATAAGTATAGATATTAAAGATATAGATTCAGAAATACTTACCTCCATGAATAAATAGATATTATCTTTTTCGATCATTAAATTTTGACCGGTGCGCTCTTCATCCTTCCATTTCAACTGACTAAAAGCTGAATATTTAAACTCTAACATTATATCTTCATCTATTAACTGGTTTAATAATTATAACTAATAGGATTTGTGGAAATTGCATGAGTATTTACATTGAAGATATCATAATTATTAATCCCAAATTTATATTCCTGTAATTTCCGATAGATTATGCATGTAAAAATAAATGAAATGAAACAAATAAGTTATTCTACAAAGAAAGAAAGAAAGAAAGAAAGAAAAGAAAGAAATAAAGAAAATAAATAAAGAAAGAAAGAAAGAAAATAAAGAAAGAAAGAAAAGAAAGAAACAAAGAAAGAAAATAAATAAATAAATAAATAAATAAAGAAAGAAAGAAAGAAAGAAAGAAAGAAAGAAAGAAAGAAAGAAAAGAAAAAGTTGGGAAATATTAAATCATAAGATCGCTGAGACACGTTCGTGGTGTCGGTTGAGTAACAGTTATCGAGTCCCTCTTCTATTCGCAAAGCATAACAGTTGTTAATAATAATAATAATAATAATAATAAATTAACAAAAAAAAACTGCTATTTCCAAGAGATGATTTCTTTATGACTGATATCTATTAGGCTTAGCTTTATCTGGAACAAGGTTACAGTTTGGAGCGCCGTCTGAGGTTAGAATTCATTACTTACTAATAGTAATAATCTATGAAATGAACTTGCTAAACACTACTCAACGGCGATGCACCATCAACCTTTCCGAAACAGATTCAGTATTTTTCCATGAATTGTTCTCTGCTATTTTTATCTCTCAAGATTCCCATGGCTCCAACCGCACCTCTCTGACTAATGGAAGAGCAAATGCTTTCGGGGGATTGACATTGTTCGCTTAAAAAGTCTCCTCATCCATCCCAGAATAAACGATAACTCATTGTCCGTTTTTTTCTATTTTATTTATAACATTTAGTAAGCTTAGCTTAGTTTGGTAGAAGGCCACAGATGAGGAGCACCCAATGAGGATTGATCTGAGAAACTAGTTTGCTAAACACTCGACTCGGTGATGTAGATATTTATTTAAGTTTAGTAAAAAGAAAGGAAATTAAATTATGATGACTGTGTTGCGCCATTTTTCCATATAAGAAAAAACTTGATTGTCTTGAAAAATCAACATACGAGATACTGGCTTTTATATGAGCTCATCCCACATAGACCATTGGTCTCAAATGATTTTCACCAATTTTTTTTTAACCTTAAGCTTATTTTAGACGTAAAGATATGGAAATAGGACAATTATATTGCGCCACTTGTCAATACCTTGATTGTATTTGAGCATAAAACTATCTTAGCAACGAGGCAGGTAACTCCTCTAAAGCTATCGTCATTTGTTCATATCTCTGGATATTTGTCCAGTTTAGATTAATACGACATCACAAGTATGAAGAACCCTAAAGTGGATCGAACTCACATCTGTCGCAATGTCCTGAAAGCCTAGCTGGCTAACTCGTGCTCCTCGGTGAGGCACAAGGCTACAAATATTAGAGACTCACTACCGTAGAAAATAGCTGCAGAATACTTATTATTACACCATGGATAATTATCCACATATTAATATATACAATGCTTAGCTTAATACAGCACAAAGTCACACGTTTAGGGTGCCCAATGAGGATCAGTTAATAACCAGTGACAGTATCTTGCTACCCATTGTTCCACAACTAGAGGCCGAATATTATTAATGAAATTTGATTTAGTTAGGAACTCATTTTAATAATGTGATCATCTGAAAATGAAACTTGGGATTTTTGTTTCGGGTGACTTTTTTTCTTAAATGAATAAGAAAAAATTTCAAGTAAGGAAGGTTTGTTGAGGTGCAGGAAATTATTTTCCTTCATGGCGATTATTTTAAAAGTGTCATTTCGTAATGATTCTTGTAGGTATTTTCCCAAATTGGAAATTATTCTAGCGTACTAAATTCTCAGTGCCTGGTTTGTGATATCCATTGACTCAAGATCATGTATAATAAAGGAAAATTCTGACTTCACCAGAAAGCTTGTTTTTCTCCAGCCTGTACTTGTAAAATCTATAATATCTCCATTTTATTAACATTGATAAACTATGTTACTTGTTAGTCAGAAAATATGAGGGTGGATCAATAAGTCCAAAGCCTGACAAAGTATTAGCTCTATTTTGATCTGAAATTTTCACCGTATAATGTTCAATGTATGTAATTAATATTCACCACTAAATTGAGTGCATTGAAAAGAAACAAGATTATGTTGAAAAATATTTGTTGTTTAAAATAAATGATTTTCATCAATAGGCTATGAACTTATTGATGCATCTATGTATATTGATCAAAATATTACAATTAACCCATTGTACCCATTCGGTCATAAAAATAAAAAACTATTAAACCTTTTCTCATCCACTTGAAATAATTCAGCTGCTGAAGTCAAATCTGAACTCTGCAATTAAAATTTTAATTTCTGTTTTTTATTCTAAAATAATTTGTTTTTTATTCTAAAATATTTTTAATAATTGCGAGTTCTTCAGTTTCAAATAAAGGAAAATTAAATTTGTATAGTGCAGTTACGACGAACGCCATTTCGTAGAGCGTAAATGCAAATAAATGGCTGCTATTTAATTGAAATGTCCTGAATTTTGAAGTCTCAACTTAATCTCGTTGTGAATTTGAAACATCAAAACGAGTTTAACTGATTTGATGGATAAAGATGATGATTAAAGTGTTTAATAACTTTAGAGTTTGCAAAATGTAAAACAATGCTGTAAATTATTAAAATAATCGGTCGCTACAATTGAACTGTGAAGAATACGTTGAAGATCCTGTACAACTCTGATGCAGATTTGTTATGGGCCAATTGAGACATTAAGAAGGAATCTTACTTATTATAAAACGCAGATTGATTGTGTGTGTGTGTGTGTGTGTGTGTGTGTGTGTGTGTGTGTGTGTGTGTGTGTGTATTTCCTACATTTTTCAACCGATTTCAACAAAACTTCACAGGACTACGTAAAATTACCCTGCAGTGGTTCTGACAGCGCCAAAAATAGGTAAAACACAATTGTTTTTGCACGAAATCAATTTGAAAACACGATTAAGAGGCATCACGAGAATGAAAGGGGGACAACTCATATCGAGTTATACTTATTATAAAAACCCAGGTTGTTTGTGTGTGTTCATTTATATATGGGATCAGTTTTCCCACATTTTTCAACCGATTTCAACAAAACTTCACTTGGGGGGGGCAGGTAGTATTTCTTATTGTCTTGCACACTTTTTTCTTTATTTTTACATTCAGAATGCTTTAAAAATTCCATTTACAAGACAATTGTTTATAATAAAATTCTATTCAATCGGTAGACTCATAACGATTGAAAACAATGTTTTTGTTTGAGTTTGGGTTTGACCAATTCGTAAAAAAACAAAAAACAAAACAAAAACAAAAAAAAACTAATTAAGACATGCGTGTCCGTCAACCATAAACAATAATCTTTGTCAATTTTATTTTTCAGTCTTTATGATGGTCGATACTTGATCCATCTCTTACTGTTACGGTTCTACTGCTAGTTTATAATAAAAATTGAATTATGATATTTTAAAATGTTGTTATAACAAGTAAAGTATCGAAAAGCACAAATCCTAAATCGAGTACCAAAAATGTAAACCCGATCTTTAGTTTTCCTTTAAAAGAAATGCAAGGAACATCAAATGAAATACGAAACAGAATATATGAAAACTAATTTTCAACTCTTTCTCTCACTAATGAATGCCGTGTTCCTCTCGATTGGTCGAATCGGTGAAGAAAAACTAGCTAGCTACTTACGTTGAGGCGTTAGCAAGACGAAGTTGAAATTATGCATTTTTGGTGTGATCATTAGTTTACTAGTGGGTCCATAAGGAATCTTAGATGTTGTTAAAATGACGGAGCAGCCATACATTGATGATCTGAAGGCATATATCGTGCCATGATTCAAGAAGGCAAATGCTTTTAGATTTTATAATTTTTAAGTACGACCATTATATTCGTTCTAGAAAGCTAATGAATATCTGAATAAAATAGGCTTCAGAGACACTCATTTGATGAATTGCTCCAGCTGAAAAATAATTGAAATTAAATGTACAACAGCTCATAAAAGCAACATTATCAGAAATTAATATACATTTCATAATAATGTTGTCTTTATAATTTGTTATCATTAAAATAGCACTGCTTTCATCTTCTGTTCAAGATACTTGTCAAAGACTATATTTAAATATTAAAGACAATATTTAAATATGTGTACATAGATCTGTTCAACCACACATGTGTCATTTTGTTTCACTTGCGTCATCTGCTAGGTAGGTTCATAATTCCATCCTCCCAGAATGTCTTCCCACTAAGAGAATTTTGTAAGAATCGAAAAAAGTGGCAATCCGAAGGTGCATGGTCAGGTAAGTATGGCAGATGTAGCAGGACATCCCAGCTAAGCTATACCAACTTCTGCGAGAAGCGTGAAGTTGGTACAGGCGTGAAGTCTGGCATTGCCCCAATGGGGGGGGGACAAAATCATTCGGAATGGCCAATTTCTGACAGTTTTCATTGACTGATGCTTTTAATCGGTCTAATGGGGAACAGTCAACTAAATTTAATGAGTGATCTTGCAGAATGAGATTTTAATAGACAATACCCTTTCATATCACGCCAAATACACAACAGCACATTTTTCAGATTTTTTAGAGTGGTTAACATTATCTCATTTCGCTTTCTCCAGGACTTTTCTTTTTGTTTTAATATTATTGTAAACAATAAACTTTACATTGCCAGTGATTGTTCTTTTTTTATTAATGGATATCTCTGACTGCAATCCTGCCGGAACATTCGCGGTCTTTCAGATCGAAATTTTCACCTAATGAGCTATTTAAAAACCGTACCCTAATATATGGGACTATCTCCATAAAAGACACATACAGCACATATATCTCATTTAGCGTAAAAATTATTTAACATTCGCAATCTACACAAGAACCGGACAGAAGGACGTACTGAAATAACACCTTTTAAAATATGTATATATGTCATAAATTTCACTCGCTTGTGAAACAAAATCACACGTTCAAACGCCACTTATTGATAGCCTTATAACTTTTTGCTTCAACCCAATCTGTCAGAGTTGAATCAGACCAGGAAACAGTTGTATTAAAAAGTGCTCAATACACATGAGAAAAAATATAAGTAAAAATAAGAATAATATGTAGATCTTTTTGTGTTTTTTTTTTTTAAATTAAAGCTTTTAAAGTGGACATTTTAAAAGATTTTCCCGAGGAAACCGTCAGGTCGAAACCATTGTCGCGTATTTTAATTGACCTCCTGATTTTTAAAGGTAAAAGCTCTACATGTTATTTTTATTTTTACTTATATTTTTTCTCACGTGTATTGAGCACTTTTTAATACTATTGTTTCCTGGTCTGATTCAACTCTGACCATTAACCTTTTATCTTGATCGTTTAGTGTTGAGCACTTTCATTTACATTGTATTTGTTTACGCTTTCATATACCATCCTAAAGTGCATAACTTTATTTGCAATATGGTTTATGTGTATTAATCCACTAACAGGGTCATATATTTTGAATGCACAATTATCTGCATAGAGCAGGACAATCATTATTTAACTACGGATCTAACCATAATGCAAGAATTCAAGATACTACACTCGCTAAAAAATATTCCCATTCCAAACAAGAACGAATACTTATTAATATTGTTACAAAAAATTGAAGAATTCCTTACAAGGATGAGGTGGAAAGCATTATTTTCTTTAAATAAGTATTTGAAGAAAAAAGAAGCCACGGATGATTATAAATTTAAAACTAACAAATACCCACCTGCTATCGAGGAACTAACTAACTAGTAATTTCCAAAAACTATTAACTACGGAAGTTAAAAGAATAAAAAATACAAAAAAAATATTCTAATTAAAGGCAATAAAACAAAAAGTATTTACACCATGAACCCGGAAGCTTACAGGGAAAAAAAACGAACGAAGAGGAAACTAAAATTTATGAAAAAGCACCGGACTCGTTCATTAAAAATTTAAATGCGGAGGCAAAAATTATCACTACCAAACTAGGGATAAGTAACAGTGTCCATGTAATTGGCTGTAATCAAGATTTTCTTACCACAAAGGACCACAAGAATCCCCTAACAAGCCTTCTTTTCGCTTCATAAACCCCAACTAAAACTGAACTGGCTAAAATAAGCCAAGAAATTTTGAAAAAAAAAACATGCGACTCATTAAGTGCCACACAAGCCAGTCACTGGAAGGATACAAGTGAGGGTATTTTTTGGTTCCATAAGATCAAGAATAAAAATAAATATGTATTCACAAAATATGACATTAAGACCTCCTATCAATCTATATCCGAAAAATGTTTACTGGACGCTTTACAGTTCGCCAACGGCTTCGTAGAAATAACATCTGACCAAACGAAAATAATTTTACATTGATGCAAATCCATTTTATTCCACAACGGAACAACTTGGATTAAAAAAAAAAAAAAAAAAAAAAAGACAGATTTCACAAAGGTTCCTTTGATGGCGCTGAAATTTCTGAACTAATAGGTCTGCATATTTTATATAAAATCAACAAGATCGCCCATATAAACAACCACAGTCTATATAGAGATGACGACTTAATGACAGCACCAAACAAGAAAAGAACCAATGACACTATTAGAAATGCGCTTTTTAAGCTCTTTAAAAAAAAATTCGGTTTGAAATAGAAGTGGACATAAATAAAAAATATTGTTAACTATCTGGACGTTAAATTGAACTTTCTCACTGGCAGTGTCTCCCCGTACATAAAACCTAATGCAAAAATAAGATATGTAAACATTAAATCCAACCAGCCCCTGAATATAACTAAACATATCCCCAATGAAATAGAGTCTAGGCTATCCAAAAACTCTTCTTGTAAGAGAATTTTTAAGGAAAAAAAGAAAGAATGAGATAAACTTAAGGGCAGAGGGCTACAAAGCAAATCTAGAATTTAAATCTCAACATATTAAACACCATACGAAAGCCATTTCGAGGAAAAGAATAAAATATTATTTGGTTTAAGCCCACCTTTCAACTTAGAAGTGAAATGTAATATAGATAAATTATTTTTCAAGTTGCTTTCTAAACACTTGCCAAAAAATTCAGAACAACATAAGATATTCAATAAAAATACAGTTAAATTAAGTTACAGTTGCACTAGTAATTTAGATACAATAATAAAAAGACAAAATAACAACGTACAGCAAAATAGCAATAGTAATTTATGCAACTGTAGAAGTAAAATTAGATGCCCATTAAATGAAGCCTGTAAAACGGAATCTAAAAATTAAAAAGCAGAAGTAACAAATATTAATGGCCAAATTAAAAAGTGGTCATTTTAAAAGGTAATTATATATATATATATATATATATATATATATATATATATATATATATGCGTGTGTTTCATACTTTAATCGTAAATCTTAGTGGATAGTCGTATTTGAGTAGACGTTTTGTTTATTTATTAAACAGTATATTTATAAATAAAAGGAGCGTCTACTCAAATATGAGTATCCGATAAAATTAACGTTTAAAGTGATAAAATTTGTCGGATTAATAAATAATAAATCCATTAATTCTTTAGAAAATATATATACGTGTCTGTGCTTGTGTGTGTGCTTGTGTGTGTGTGTGTGTGTGTGTGTGTGTGTGTGTGTGTGTGTGTGTGTGTGTGTAGAAAAGCTCACCCAAATGTATACAGTTTGGTCTTATCCAGCTTCTATTATCTCCGAAATTACTTATTGCCAATAAAAGTTCTGTTTAAAAAACAAAGAGCGAAAAAGAAAGAAAAATATAATTAATCCGTTGTTCTAATGAACGAATCTTGTTAAGAAAAAAAAGTATAATGGGAACGCTCTTTTCAACATTTATTGATTGGCTGACATAATTCAGTATTATATTTTCCGGGACAGTCATGGCGGAAAAGGTTTCTGAATATATTAGTTATTTTTATGAACTTTCATATATATGACCTATGAATAAAGAATTTGTTTTTATCGGTCAATAGAGCTTTTCCGATGAGTCAATTTTTTGATCCACACTTATGAAAAATATAGGATAGCGTAATATATTTAAAGCCTTGTCAGTTGCGTTTTAAGAATACGATGAGACGCCCCCTTGCATCGTGGGGGTGGGGAGAGAGCGAGTGAGGGGGAGAGAGAATATGAAGTTGCAACCATGATAATGTTTTGAAATTTTTATTAAAATTTATATTTCACCTTTAAAAATGACTTTTGGATTTCTCAGATGTTCATTCCAGGTTTTCTTTATTGCTAATATTTTATTACACACACGCACACACACACACACACACACACACACACACACATATATATATATATATATATATATATATATATATATATATATATATATATTCACTTGAATTGTTTTATATAAAGGGCTTCCATAATATTAAGACGTGTTAGAATGATTAGAAGTATTTGTCAGTGCAGGCATTTGTCAAGCCAAGCTCCAACTTTATTTTATTTGACAATGTTAGTAACGTTGGAAGTCTTTTAAAAGATATCCCAATATGGAAACCTTATCACATTTCTATCGCACAGATTAGAATTTCTACTACTTCCGTAATACAACTTAGAACACAAACATTGTAAGCCTATTAACAATGAACCACTTCAGAATGGCTAATGAATTGGCCGAAAGCACCTGCGTATCATTACGGGCACTTTCGGCACTCTCATAACAAGCTCAAAATAAAATGAAAATTGTAATAACATTTGAAAAAACTTCCCAAAATATATAATATATATATATATATATATATATATATATATATATATATATATATATATATATATATCTGTGTGTGTGTATAAAAGATCTAATTTTTTCACATATAAGTGTATGTGTACTTTTGTCTTTATTTTATATAAAAGGAAGGAAAACAAAGACTTGTGGAAGTTCATGCTTATTAATAAGCGTCCAATTGATATCAACGCTGAGTAAAATAGTAATAAATGCTTTAGAATCAAATTCTACCACTTTCTGCTTGCAAAGAAGAAAAAAGATGAAGTAACTTTGATGTCTCTTTTATGCAGTGACCAAGCCGATAGCCAGTTAATCATGTCACTAAGCGTAAGAAACATGGACGACATTTAAACTACGTACATGGACATTTTTCTTACTTAATACAGATTTTCGCCAGTTTTCACAATTAAATAAAAAACCGGGAATACTTCTTAAAGAATATTCCAATAATGTATCCTACTGTTTCAAACATAATTTTGTGTTTTTAAGATGATAAAAACACACAAATGGAATTAAAGTAATTTTATGAATGAATATCATAATTGATAATCGAAAAATATGTTTTTTCAGAGTTTCTCTTATGATTTAACAAATACAAACCCTTTATTGGCATAATCGTCCGGAGTCAGGTCGGCGTTGCTGTTTGATCCGCAAAACCCGAAATGAGGAAAGTGCATCACTGAAGCCCTAACTTGATGCATCTAAAATACAACTATGTCTTTATATAGTCCCGAGGTTATCATTCCGTAAGTCCCCCACAGTGCATCTGCTTGATTCGATTTGATGCTGACTTTATTTATGTTTCCTTTTCTATTTTAATAGTCATCTTAGTCATGGACAAGCACATCATAATGAGTTTCAACATTTTTATTTGTGTATTGCTTTTTTAATGCTACTTCTATATTACGTAGCCTTTCCGAACGCGGGCGTTTATGGCTCTCCACAGATTCCTATCCCTTTTGGCCCTTGGCAGTATTTCCGCATTTGCCAAACCTCCTGTCCACTTCATTCATTCAGACAAACTTATCAGATTGGTAGCCCGCTACTTTCCTCTATCTCTCTTGCCATGTGAGGATCAAGTTTTCCATGCTTTTCTTCCTCGTTATGTGTCCAAGAAACTTCAACCGTCTTTTTATGATTCTAAGTGTTAGCATTTTCAAAAAGACTTCTTCATTACTTATTTATTCCGTCTATAGAATTCTAAGTATCCTTCTGTAGAACCACATTCCAGCTGTCTCCAGTTTCTTCGTCACCCCTTGGGGAGATTGTCCCGCATTCATTCTCATATAAGATGATTTATATTACACAGCAATCCAGCACTCTTTTCTTTGTTTCTAATGACATTTTACTCTTTCTTAGTATTTCGTTTTGGGAGACATCTCTCGCTAAACTACCGTGCCTTCCGATTTCAGTGTCGTATTTTTCGTCCTCTGTTAAAACACTTCCCAGATCATTAAACTTCTGTAGTTATTTCAGGTTGACACCTCTAACTCGACTTTGTGCAGCTACACTTTTTTATTTTCAATCCGACTGCACGCAGTTTGTTCCTAGTATAAGTTCTGCTTTATTCTAACATCCTTTCCAAGTAGATCGAGTTTTCCTAACTAATCAAATCCTTTTACGTAATCTATAAAACATAAATGTACATCCTTCTGCATTTTATTGCTCTCACCGATATCATTCAAATCCTGAATATCGCATTTCTTGTTCCGGTGTCAACGCTGCACTGTTTTTGTCCTGTTTCCGGTCTAATTCTTCTTCGTACCCGCAGTCACCAATTGTGTAAATCTTCATTTCTAAACTCTTTGTTGATTTAATCAATCAGCTTCTTTCTGGCTTCACTTGGGCTTCTTCATGTCCATGGGCGTCTTTCAGTGCTCCTGAAAACAGGTGTTGATAATTATGTGATCGTTTGTTGTACATCATTGAACCTATCGTTGGCCGCGCGCTCATTTCAAGTTTCTAGTCCTAACTTGCCAACTATTTCGCCTTGTCTTTCTTTGCCTACCTTGGCATACGGGTCTTCCTTTGAAAATTTTTATCGTGTCTTGAATTCATTATTTTTTTTTAAACTTACAATTACCATACTTGCTAGCTTAAATTATAACTTTTCTCTAAATGAATAAAAGTAGGCCTGTATCACAAATGGAAGGGTGAACGTTATAGACACAGTATGAGGATGTTACACGAGTTAAATTCAGATACAAAAGCTCATTTTTTTTCAATGTTCTTTAGAATACTCTCCTTACCAAGTTCAACAAATTTAGATCTTTATTGAAATTCTTCGAAATTCAGTCCTTATTCCCAATATTATACGCCGATCTTTTGTTCTCATTTCTGCCGTTAGAATCACAACCTTCTTCTTGTTGTTCATTGATTTCTTTCAAGTGCTTTGTCGCCTTTGTTTATTTCCTTCTCCGTATTTGATTCATGCTTGTGATGACGCTTATGCGTTTTGTTTCGCTAAGAGTATACATGGATGTTACTGCCTGAATCAAGAAATGAACACAACAAGTAAGCTGCATACACTCAAAGTTTATGCTCATTTCTATTCATTCATTGACTCTTACGATAATCAGGTGATTAACTTAAGAGTTTCAAACTTGATATTTGTTATTTCCTGATAAAAATCTCTCTGTATATTGCTCATTATTATGCTTAGGCAACCGATGAGTTTTTGTAAAAATAGTACTCGCGCTGATTTTTTCAATCGCTTTCTTCTTTAATGACGTCATTATTATTGTTCATCCATTGAAACTGGCGATCATTTTTCAGCACATTTTCAGCTATACCTGAATTCATAGTCTGTCTATATTTCTGAGATGAGGTATTATGTACAATGTTTACATTATTCGGACTATAGTCCTCATCTTTGTCGCCATATTTATCACAACGTTTCGGCCGTTGTACGCTCCGGCCTTCTTCAGGTGATTGGAATTTCGAACTGAACCCTTTATTTCGCTCACTGGGGTAGACTGTTCTAGTTCCACGTGCCATGTTTGATGGATGTCAGTTATCAGTTATCTCCTGTTAATTTCCCTCTGAAAGTTCTCCACTGCCTTAACCGGGTATTGGACTCACACTCTTTGGGTCCTGTCACTGGATCTAACGAACGCCTTTATCCTTGAGGACACCTGGGTATGAATTTCTGGGTATTATAAACCTAATGTCTTCAGCAACTATTTTTACCAGTGCTCATATTGCAATTTTTGCTGTTATCATTGCATTTTTTTTTTACCAGAGCTCATATTGCAACTTTGTTGTTATCATTGCTTTTCTCTGGCACTCCTTATTACTGGTTCCCATATTGTATTTATGTCTATGCTTGGTCGGCTCAGGAGATTTTTGTGGCCTAGCATATGTGCTGATTCCTTAAGTTTACGAATTTTCCAATGGCGGCAAAGATGAGGACAATAGTCCGAATAATGTAAATAATGTACTGAATTCATAGATTCTTCACAGACTACAGTTTTTTAATGTTCTTCTACTCGTAGTTTTACAAAGTCACTGGTCTCGCCTTTAATTTTCTTACTATAACAGCATATAATAATATACATATATATGGTCCTGTTCTCATCTGATGGAAATTTTGACTCTGATCATGTATCCGTTTAGTGTGAAAGTGTTTTTTCCTCCCTGTCCTGATAATTCGTGAACCGCAAATTCTCTACATTTTTCCCGACGCACCTCCAATGTATGGTGGTCTTAGTTTTACAACTATGTCTATATCTTTAATTAATCATATTCTTATCCTTTCAAATTTCGATCCTTCATAAATACTTCAAAATTCGATTCTTATTCAATTTCTTTAAAATGCTATCCTTTGCAAGTCATCAAAAATTCGATCATTCACAAAACTTTAATCTTTATCTTCAAGTTCTTCAGAATTCGATACCTGCTAATTCTTGAAAATTTAAACTTTTAATGTTGTCCTTCAAGATTTTATCTTCATCCTAAAATTATTTAAAACACGATCTTCTCTGTATTCATCAAAATTCGATCCATCCTAAATTCTTCAAAATACAATTCTCATCACTTTAAACAAAATCAATCGTAAGTAATTCAAAAGATGAACTTTTTATGGCTATTTAACATTCGATAGCAGTTGGCAGCTTAAGTTCATGCAACAAAATAATCTAGTTTGGTAAAATCTGTAAAAAAAAACAAAAGCTCTTTGCTTATTCAATTTGTATAACCACAAAAAGATCCTGGCTCCCTTTTCATAGATGAAGTCTTCAAGTAGAAAAATACTATTTCTAACCTTGGACTAGACGAAGCTAAGTTAGTATAAATAAACACTTATTGGATGGCGAACCTTTCATAGAGAACTGGTGTCGCTGGATAAAGCAAATACCGTAAGTTGCTAAGTGCTTGCCACCTGAGACCGACTTCACACAACCAACAAAAGTCGAAAGTGTGGGGAGAAACATGGATATGTAAATGGAATAAAAATGTCAGTCAAGGAGAGACCCAGAAAGTGACATGAAAAAGTAATTAGAGAGACTAACTGGGCAAATAAATAAATTTACTTCACTCTTTGAAACCCACTTGAAAATCAAAGCACAACTGGTAAACTGTTCGCTAGGATGTCAAGATGACCTACATTTTACTAGACTTTGGTGCACTTATTGTATTTGAAAGCACATAAAATCACACTTTTCACCCAAATTACGGCTTATATGCGAAATTGAAATACTTGCCAGGCTAATGCTATCGACTACCAGTACTTTGGCCTAGTCTAGCACCATAAGACAATAATATCCAATGTAAATAGGTGGAGGTTTTATGTACCAGCAAATGTAGTAGGTTGCATTGTATACATTGCTACGAGAGAAGTCTACTATCGCAGTCCGTTCCTCGTCATCAAGAGTGAGTCTTCTGCAGAGATCTCAACTTTTACTAGTACAATGCGGGTTTGTGCCCAACACACAGCACGCGACTATTATGTTTAAATCTTTCTTCTATACAACAATAGTTAACAACGTGGTTTCTGAGAGCATTATTACTGCAATGAGTGTGACTTTCATTAAACACTGGTTCCCGTACGGTCACCGAAGTTAAGCAATCTCGAGCCTGATCAGTATCTAGGTGGGTGACCGCTTGGGAATACCAGGTGCTGTAAGCTTGGACTTGCAAGTGGTCTAATGGCTCGGAATTGTTAATCGGAGAGTCCATTTCCAATTCTATTTAAATTCTTTATATTCACTTAACTTTAAATACCATTGTGAAGGGTATGAATCCACCTGCATCAATAAACTATTATTATCTCAATAAAAATTTTAAATCATTTCTCTGGCTTTAAATAACCTGTAAAAGGTTGATAAGCTGTAGAAAACAAATCCGTCAATGAATTACTAGGTGTTGTAAGCTTAATAAATACTTAGATTGCTTCAACGTGGAACAAGCTAAGTTTGCAGATAATTACTTCCATAATAAGTTAAATTCTCACTGGAATCTCCATTATTGTGGTGTGCTAAAGGAGCTTGCTACAACATGTAGGCATGAAACTGTTAAGAGATCAAAAATCTTTCATTCTACGTCCACTACCTTCGCTCCGAAGTAGCATTAGCAATAATCGCAAACATTTTAGTTTACAAAAAGATCAATATTTAAACAGTTTAAATCTATCAATCAGTGGTATCAGTAGGTTAAATCTATCAATCAGTGGTATCACCAGGTTAAATCTATCAATCAGTGGTATCACCAGGTTAAATCTATCAATCAGTGGTATCCCCAGGTTAAATCTATCAATCAGTGGTATCCCCAGGTTAAATCTATCAATCAGTGGTATCACCAGGTTAAATCTATCAATCAGTGGTATTACCAGGTTAAATCTATCAATCAGTGGTATCACCAGGTTAAATCTATCAATCAGTGGTATCACCAGGTTAAATCTATCAATCAGTGGTATCAGTAGGTTAAATCTATCAATCAGTGGTATCCAAAATCTATCAATCAGTGGTATCACCAGGTTAAATATCATCAATCAGGTTAAATCTATCAATCAGCAGGTTAAATCTATCAATCAGTGGTATTACCAGGTTAAATCTATCAATCAATCACCAGGTTAAACCTACCAGTCAGTTAAATTAAATCTATCAATAAGTGGTATCACCAGGTTAAACCTATCAATCAGTGGTATCACCAGGTTAAACCTATCAATCAGTGGTATCAGTAGAGTCCCTAACACTCTCAATGATGCTGCAATGGCCACTTTTTCTTTCTCCCTCTACTCTTCATCGTTATTCCATTTACTGCGTAAAAGTCTATCCTGGAAGAATTACATTTGTAAATAAAAGCAAAGTCAGCGCTTGGAGTCATTCATTTTAAGAAACTTTTTAATTTACATGTCAGCATTTTTGACATTCCAAATAGCTTGTCAGGATCTGACATCCAATTTTCATATTTTCAAAAATACTACTCTCAAGTTTAAACGTAGCAACAGCAAGTTGTCACGCTGATATATAAATATAAGCTTTAATAAACGTTGTCAATAATCAAAAGAAAAGTATATAAATGTTACAATTATGGGATAGATGTATTTTTTCGCCTTGCATTGCGTTCATTTGATTTCGTCGCTTTTCTAGTAGTAATATTAGTATAATATTAGTAGTAGTAGTTCCTTTCAAACTATCTGACAGTCGATGATGAATAGTTTTTATATACATATTGCTAATGGATATGTTTTCTTTTCTGTTTATCACCATCTTTTATTCTAAACCTCCTCATTTTAACTAAAAAGCAAATCAACCTGTAAATATTAAAACGGTAAAGATACCCTTGAAAAATGTGCTAATAATAATAATAATAATAATAATAATAATGCATGTTTCTGGTATCCCCTTGTTATACTGGGTATATACATGCCGGGTATATTTGGCTTCGAACATTTGTAACTCAGAGTGCTGATCTTTCTCACTCAATAATAATAATAATAATGAACAGAGAAGACCATATAGCGTCGTCCTCAGTGCAACTGAAAATAAATGCCAAATAATTGATGTGACCATTTCTTGCTGGGCTAGGGTTAACTGCTAACTACAAATATAGAAACAAAGCAAATAGAAAAAAATCAGCAACTACTCTGACCTGAAGACGGACCTTGATTGTAGAAAATTCAGGAATAATGTTAAAGTCGATAGCAATTCGGATACTCAGGTCCATCCCACTGAAGTTTAAAGAATATGGCGACTAATTTGGTGTAGAATACACTTTGGAAATGCTACAAAAATCTGCCTTACTGGGTACAGTAAGCATTCGATACTGTTTGTCTGAGGTACTCGGCGTGACTTTTCAATTAGTATCTTGATTAGTTTATCTGGTTAATCAAGGCGTCGACACAACAATAGTATCATGGCACATTCGGGAAATAATAAAAGCATATTTTATTTACACTATTCGGACTGTTGTCCTCAACTGTGTTGGCATATTCATGACGTTTACAGCCGTTGTACACGTGATTGAAATTTCGAACTGAACCCTTTATTTTGTCCACCGGGGTAGATTGCTCTAGTTCCACGTGCCATGCCTTTTCCGGATATCTAGGTATCATTCTCCCTTTAACTCTCAAAGTTTTTGTTCCCTTCAGCTGCAGTCAGGTAGTGAACTCACAACTCTATGGGTCAAGTCACTGAATTCAGCCAAGGTTTTTATCCACTGGGCCATTTGTCATTGAGGACAGTAGTGTATGACTTTTTGGGACTTATAAACCTAATTTCTCAGTAACCGTGTTTTAGTAGGGCTCATGTTGCAATTTTGTTGTTATTATTGATTTTCTCTTGCAATCAGTATTACTGGTTCCCATATTATATTCATTTCTATGCTTGACCGACTTAGGAGATTTCTGTGGCTTAACATATGCACTGATTCCTTAGGTTTTCGTATTTTCCAGTGATGTTCCCTATTATTTCAACCTCACCCCACAGGGGGTGTTGATCATATGTGTTCAACCATGCCTGATTTTTTTCATTTCCACTTGTGTTACGACTTTACGGTGTTCTTGTAGTCTTATCTTAAGGAGACGGTCTGTTTCTCCTTTAAATTTCCTTGCCACAGCTGCATGGGATGACGTACATAAAGTCCTTCATCATATTCCCTCTAATGGAGGTCTTACCCGGAAGAGGTGCCTGTGAAGTATTGAACCACTTTTGAGGGTCGTCCTGTTATTTTATGGGCCACATATCTGTTGTAGTTTTCCAATAATCCCTCCACATAGGGTAAGAAGTCCTAGGCTGCTTTCTGAGTGTTGTCATCCTTTTGATGCCTTCTATCCAGGTTGTCGGAACTGCTGCCATCTACCTAGGGTAGGGTACCGCTTATACTGACCATTTCTTGTTCATATGTCTCTGGGTCGCCACTTATGACTTTTGCTTGAAACAAACAGCGAGCAATCCCTTTCTTTACACTGTATGGGTGGCGGGAGTTGAAGTTGAGGTATTGTCCGGTGAATGTTAGCTTGCGGTATACGAATGTCTTGAACCCATGCTCTGGTCGAGATATTAGTACATCCAGGAATGCTAATTTGTTATTGTTTTCTCTCTCCATTGTGTATCGATTCAAATGGTCCAGTAGTAGTTGAACCTCTTTCCGGTGTGTTGCTAGAGTATGAAAGTATCATCTACGTATCTCAGCCATAAAGTTGGCTTTAGTGATGTTGATTCTAATACCATTTCTTTGAAGTAATTCATGCATATGTTAGCCATTGCTGGTGATAATGGCGGACCCATTTGTAACCCTTCATCCTGCCGATATATGTCTGATCCCATTTCAAAGTGTGTTGTACAGAGTAAGTCAGCATCTCCATCAGGTTATCTGTTGGCATATGGTACGTTCTCCTAGGGATGAGTCTGAGGCCAGTCTGTACTTGACTACCGATAAGTGCCTCCTCTGTGGGAACCATGGTTAGATTAGATAGGTGTATATTTGATTATTTCCATGAAGTGGACGGAGTTTGGTACATATGATGGTGTCTTTGCTATTAATAGGTCAATTATATCGACAAGGAAGCGACTCAGAGGATGGCACACGAAGCTTTGGCAGCTAACAATTGGCCTAAGCGAAATACCGTCTTTGTGAATTTGGGGGAGACTGTATATGTGAGGTAGCTTGCTGTAACGTTGTGACAACTGCCTATATGTTTTAGGTGGGAAGTGGTCCTTGTTCTTGATTGTTCTACGACAGTTTTCGTTTCGTTTTCATTGTTGGATCTTTCTTACTATAGCTACCATTTCTAATGAGCTCTTCCAGTTTTCCTCTATATTCTGTTTTATCCATCACTACAGTCGCATTGCCTTTATCAGTTGGTAGTATGATGATGTTTCTGGAGGGTTTTGATTGCCAGTCTCTTCAGTTTGGTGGTGTTTGATTTGGTCGGCTTGGCTTTCTCTAATATCCGTCTCACTTTCCCTCTTAGCTCATCTGCCCGAGCCTGAATAATGTTCAAGGTTATTTCTTCGAAGTATGGTATCCGCCTGATGGTTGCTGCAAAGTTGAGACCCTTTTTCGGTAATGATTCTTCAGAGTCACTCAGCTGGTGTTGACTGATATAGATTACTGCCTTCACTGGGGGGTGATTGACCTTGTGCGTCACCTTCTGATCTTTCAATCTGTACAATTTCTGTACTTGGCAGACTGTATCGAATTCGTGTCAGAAGGATTTATTCAGATCATATTGGATCCTCTTTCGGTTTTCTTCGTCGATAATTCTGTTGAAGAAGGCCTCAGGCCTCTGGGGGGATATCGGATTGCAGTTTTTGTTTTACCCAGCGGTTGTACTGGATTCTCCCTTTTTCTGCGACTAGACGAGCTCTCCTTGAATTGTACCGGAAGTCTTGGTGCCAAGCCTTAAGGTACGAGTCTAAAGTCTTTGAATCGGTGTATCAATGTTAGATGGTTCAATATTCGTTCAAACTTCTGGTGGGACATTTCTAATTGTCTCCATATTTTTGGTATATCGGGCCCGTACAATCCTTCAATATCTCTCTATGTTTCTGGGTGAGGTATTGTAATTATTTATATTATTTACATTGTTCGGACCGTTGTTCTCATCTGTATTGCTATATTTACGACGTTTCAGCCGTTGCGCGCCCCGGCCTTCTTCAGGTGATTAGAATTTAGAACTGAAAACCTTTATTTCGTCCACCGAGTAGATTGCTCCACGTGCCATGCCTCTTTTGGGTGTCTCAGTATCATTAATCTCTCTTTTTGTTCACACGTATTGAACACAAAGTCACTGGATTACTTCAACCAACACTTTTATTCACTAAACCATGTGTCCTTGAGGATATCAGAGTTTGAATTTCTGTGACTAAACCTAATGTATTAGTAACCATTTTTTACCAGAGCTCATATTGCAATTTTGTTGTTATTATTGGGGTTTTTTTTCTAGCACTCCGTATTACTGGTCCCCATATTTTTTTTAATTTCTATGCTTGGCCGGTTTAGGAGATTAAACTGTCTGATCAATGCAAATAATGTAAATAATTGCAATGCCTCATCTCATAAACGTAGACAGAACGCACATTTTATCTCAGGTCTATTAAATTAATTCAGTTCGAAGAGAAAATTAGGATAAATAACTAATTTTAGCATCGAGAAATAAAGTATGAAAGTTAATTTCGAGTGATGTGCTCGATGATAATGTTTATCACTAAATATAATTTAATGAAGAATAGGAATAAAGGTAATGAAATGATTGTTGTCAAAACGGACATTTTTTAAATGGCAGAAATAAGACGTTACCTTTACATATGATAATTATTCTTGAAAAATTCCATTAAAAAAATAATTATTTTAAATTTTGTGTATTTATGCCTTCAATTAAGTGACCACACTGTATAATTTTACAAAGCTGCTGAAGCTGGCACAAGGTCATATTTTTGGAGTCTCTAGTTAGAATGAGATGCACTAGAGTTATGGGATCTGCTATGTTCGTTTGATAAACACTGGTCTACAGTAAGCGTTCCCATCGTTAAATTTTATATAAATAAAATATATTTATATGGGTGCAAAAGATTTCGGATGCGCTATCAAGAAAAATGTAACAAAATTTCGCAGGATGGAGGCATGAGTGTCCAAACACATGATATCTGTTACCCACTCCCCATCTCGTTTTAGTGACAAGTACCGATGACAAAAAGTAAAAAGCTCAGTACAGTCAAAGACGTGGTGAAGTTCAAAAGAACAATGAAGGGCATTGAAGAGCCTCTGAAATATGAAGAAAGAAAGAAAGAAAGAAAGAAAGAAAGAAAGAAAGAAAGAAAAGACAAAGAAATTTGAATAAAGTCACCTGAAACAAAGTCAGAAATATCAAGGTCGTTGATACTTCTTTCCGTTCAGAGAAACTTTTTTTATGCAAAAGTCAAACGACTGATGAAAAAGCAACGGGAGTTGCGGTTAATATTTCATTTTTGACATTTGACCAAGTATTCGTCAATAATGAGTGCCCTCTCCGCCTCAACTCAAATACTCTAGTCTCTCTCTCTCTCTCTCTCTCTCTCTCTCTCTCTCTCTCACTCACTCACTCACACACACACATTGTCTGATTCGCGGAATTGTAAATCTATCAGCCTTCTCTTATCAGAATAACTAGATAGTAAAAAGACCGAGAAAGAAAGAATAAATCGAATATTTTAAATAAATTCGTATAAAATACCAACGCTCCCATTCTTGGAAGTGATTTTAAACTATTTTCAGTTTCAAATTTTCAGCCTTTAATATTTGAAGTTGCAGAAATTGGCAATAAAATGTTGTTTTTAATAAATTGAACTTTTAATTTATTGTTAAACGTCATTATTACAAAAATCTTTTCTATTCCTCTGATTCAAATTTGTCTGGAGGTCTGTTATTTCTCGCACTTGAAAAATAACATCCGTTTTTATCGACAATATTTCAATCTGTGTCAGTCTGCAGCAGCAATGACTTTTTCTTGTAGCCATTTTCTACCCCCTCCCACCCACTATAATGCAACTGACGTTCGCTTCTGCTTGTTGCGTTTAAGATTTATTTCACTGGATCGATTCTTGGATTAGTTCAAATGCAAACTGGAACATCGGTGGTGAAGGATTAGATCGAAATCCACCCACGGAGTTAGCGCGATGCTGCAGGAGAAATATCTTGTTACATGCGTTATATTAGACGTGGATTTTATATATCTAGAAAATAAGATAAATGTGACAAGTAGACGAAGAGACGACTAAGAAAGATAATGTGAATGTAGAACCTATTTATCGATATTTACTATTTTTATTTAATACACACACACTTACATACATACATATATATATATATATATATATAGTCATCCCCAGACAGACTATTTCGCAGCTCTCGGAATCGGCTTGAAGTCAGTGAGATATCCTACCCCTTAGGCCATAGTCGCATGGCAGAAAAGAAGAGAAATTTTAACGTTTTTTCTATACGAAATACGCCAGCGGCCCGGAGAACTTAATTCGTACTTGAAGAGTAATGCATTACCTACCTCTCATTCTATCTATCTATCTATCTATCTATCAATATATATATATATATATATATATATATATATATATGTCTATATGAATAAAAAAGATGGAGGAAAATCTATTCTTAACCGACGCGTTTCGTCCTCTCAAAGACTTTATCAAGGCTATCATTGATAAAATCCCTCAGAAGACGAAACGCGTTGGCTAAGAATAAATTTTCCTGTTGTCTCTTTTTATTCATTTTGTCTCATCTACACATACACTGTATCTGAGAATATTTAAACACACACACACACACACACATATATATATATATATATATATATATATATATATATATATATATATATATATATATATATATATATTATAGTATACGCAATAAATCACTCAAACTTTATACTGAAATCGCCTGATAAGATCCATTTGTTTTTTATTACATTTTTTCCAGTTTGTGTATAAGCTGTCACACATTCAGGCCATATTGAGAAACCAACACTTCTTCGTGAACCTGTATCATATAAGTACCTTTTCATGGCCATTTTGATAACATTTACACACAGCCTAGGGTCACCTACCAACCCTACTTTATCTATACTGTCCTACTTAGTAGATAAAATCTTTAAAAATTTTGTCAAAACTATGTTCTCTATATTAACGGCACAAAATCTAGATAATCTTTTTAAAAAAAAAAATTAAAGAGACCTTTTCAGGAAAACTCTACTTTGAATTTTACTTATGAATTTAATAATAAAATTCCTTTCCACGACGTTAGACATAATTTTACTTCATTTACCAAAGTGATATAAAATAACTGTTATAAAATAACAGGATCAACCATATTAAAGTCGTTTCAACTTCACACGTTATTTTTTACAGAAATGAGTTAAATAAAATGAACATTTCTTAACAAATGTTTTTCAAACCACGTAGTTATCAAATGTTTTGTCATTTTTTTTGTTGAAAAGCCTAATGACTAATACTGGATCTCACCTTTGTGTTATAGCAATATTTTTTATGATTCTTTGTACCCTTTGAGTGACTGCATCTTCAACACTAATAAGACATTAATTCAGACATTGCTTACACAACTACCACAATTACGTTAGACTTTTTTTTCACGAAAAAATTTAAATTATTGTATATGATCACAATGATAATAATTGTAGATTTTTTATTAACTGCGTTTTTAAAAATTTCAAATTGTTTTGTTATTCCTATTTTTGAAGGTACAGTGCTCTTTGACAAAAGTGACTCACCTGATTTTTTTTACCAATTTTTTGTCTATTGTTTTTGGGGTAAAAATAATTTTTAATCTTACTAATATAAAGACCCCTTCCTGACCACCTAGTAAAAAAGTTTACTCAGCCTAAGGTATTCTATTGATAATTATAATTTTGGATATAAATGAGATTTAGGAAAAAACGCTGTGCAAAAAATGACTCACTTATTTCCTGCAACTAGTAATCAATAGAAACATAACCGAACAGTTTTAAATAAAGAATAATAGAGGTATAATTTATTTATAATAGGTAATATAGTTTGAAATATTTAATAATCTATGGGTCCTTCTTTATTTTGAATAACCTTTTCAACCCTTTTTGGCATTGACTTGATTAGGTTCTGGCAAATCTCATCTCCAAGCATTGAATTCCATTCGGATATGAAATTCACAATCAAATCCTCTTTGTTACTCAACTGCTTTCTCGAGAGCCTGTACTTTATAATGCTCCATAAGTTTTCTATGGGGTTGAGGTCAGGAGATTAGGGCGGCCATGTCATAACACTCACCTGCTTCTCATCAAAGTATTCCTTCATCAATTTTGATTTGTGACAGGGAGCATTATCCTGCATAAAAATGAGCTGGTTGGGATTGATTTGCACCCTTTCAGCAAAAGGGAGCAGACAAAATTCTAAAATTCTCTTGCACTTCACACTCCTGAGGGTCTTTTCAAAGGTTTTGAGAAACCAGTTCCATGAAAAGAAAAGCATCCCCAGAACATTATACTGAACGGATGCTTGACAGTACTTACTGCTAAATTCAAAGAGCTTTCAAAGCTTCTTCTTCGGATTTTAGATGGCTTATCCTTTGAATTTAGCTCAACTTTCGTTTCATTGGAGAAGAGAACATTCTTCCAGTCTTCTACGGTGAAATTTTTGTAATAGTGAGCCTATTCAAGTCTCTTGGCTTTGTTGGCTTTGCTTATTAGCGGCTTAAACCTTCGTGTACAAGATTTGTAACCTTGTTCTAACAACCACCAATGGACTGTTGAAGAGGCAAGACTAACACCTTGCTCTTCGCTTAGACTGGCTGCAATTTCTTGGCTAGTTATAGTCCTATTCTTCGCAACTTCTCTCTTGATTACCCTGCCAGTTCTATCATCAATCTTTTTCTTTCGTCCCCTTGTTTCCTTCCTTGGAGCAGGAGTGGCATCATTATGTGCTCTAAACACTCGAGAGACAGTTGATTGCGAGGTTATAGCAATTTCTGCAATTTCTCTCGTAAACTTGCCTGGTTTTGAGAGAGCAATAATAGATGTTTTAAGTGGTTCTGAGTGGCTATTTCAAGCTGTTTTGATACTGTATGAAGCTTTCTGGAATATTCTGGAATGCTGCAGATTAATTTAATCTGTTCTGGAATTCTCTAGAATATTGTTCTGAGTGTATTGTAAAATAGTTTTCAATATTTTGTCTAAAGCTCTTTAAATTTACCAGTTTAAACATTAGAATGCGATATCTGAGTCACTTTTTTGCACAGAGTTCTTTCCTGAATCTCATTTATATCCAAATTTATAATTATCAATAGAATACCTTTTTTACTAAGTAGTCGGGAAGGGGTCTTTATATTAGTAAGATTAAAAATTATTTTAAGCCCAAAAACAATAGACAAATAATATTTTTATTAAAAAAAATCAGGTGAGTCACTTTTATCGAAGAGCACTGTACCTTCAAAAAATTATATTAGTGTTGTGGATTCCGTGAATGGAATCTTGCACAAATAAATAAACAACGCCAGAAATTGAGATAGAAAAATAAATGTATTAACGTAAGAATACAGACTTGAATTGAAGATTAGTAGTCTAGGAATGCGGGTTAGTAGAAAGTATATCTGCAAGTCTCTGTAAGTAAAGCCGTAATCATCTCTCTCTCTCTCTCTCTCTCTCTCTCAACCTGTCTCAATATTTAACATTCCACCCACGAGGAATATATGTGGCACAAGGCCGAGTTTAAAGTGGTTTTCTCCGAGCCCGTAGGCTCAGCCAAAAAATATCCCCTTTGAACCTGCATAAGCGGGTTCGGGAACTGTCTACCTCCCCGGACGAATCTTAGCCCTTCGGCAAAACCTCGTCCGGGTTCCTCTCTGCCAAAGCAGACAGTTCGATGGACGTCGAGACTGTATCTTGGCGTATCTCAACAGCAGGTATTCTCTCTGTCAGTATAAGTATACTTTGAACGAGTCCATCTTATGTAAAAGGGGGAGAGCCTCACAACAATTAGTAAGATTAAAAATTATTTTATCCCCCCCAATACTATCAGGATCTCCTGCTGCGATTCACGTGATCAGACCCTACTAAGCGTGGATTGAACTTTTGGCCATCGCACAAACGCTGCGTACCCGGTCAAGGAGGAAGGGAACCCACGTGACTGTCTTTGGGGACAGCAAAAATCTAAAGAAGGTTTTTCAGTTTTCCCTATGACCAGTGGCAGTTGAACGTCGCTGGGCAACTCGTCCCTATTCCAAATGGACTGCCCACTGAGATGAAGAAGACAGCAAAGTCTGTCGACTAGAGATGAAAGGACTGCTATGAAACTGAATCAACCCAACGAAACGCCTGTACGAAATACTGTGGACCCCCGAACACTTGAGAAAGAAAAGGAATCCAGGAAAATCGCCGGCCGACCAAAATATTGTTTTAGCATAAGAACTCTCGCTTCGGCGAATCAAAATTTTGTGTGAAAATATCAACTCGACTGACAGATAAGTTGATTCTCTTGATTTGATCTTTTTTTTATATATGTATGTATTCACTCGCGCCTTCTGTTCTTTATTGGTCCCCTTCCCCTTTGTTAAATGAATTTTCTTTTTTTTCTTTCTTTATCTGTTTATATATTTATGAATAAATGTTTTATTTTGAAATCCATCGTCTTGTGTCTGTTCTTCGTTGATTCCCTTGTGTTGCTTCCATTTCTGAGTGAAGACCGAGAAAAGATCCCATGTTTTCCTTTTTTTTAAAACCCGTGGTTCATCTATACGCTACAAGTTCGTAACAATATATATATATATATATATATGTGTGTGTGTGTGTGTGTGTGTGTGTGTGTGTTTGTGTGTGTCTGCGTCTGTGTCTGTGTAAGTGTGTATGTGTTTGCACATATTTGAGAGAGATAGAGAGATAGATCAGATAAGTATATCTTGTACCTGAATTAGACTATTGAACACAGGCATTAATGTGAACAAGAAGTCAACAACCATCTCAGCTATAACATGCACACACACACATACATACATTGAATACACATTCCCCTCCATTTCACTCATGAACTTAATACTGAAAATGGTGTCCCTTTCCTAGACATCCTAGTTTACTCTAATAACCATGTGTTTATCAGCTTCGATACAAAACCTACACGTTTAAATCCCTGCCACTTAATTATAAGAGTTAGTGGTCGTACGGATATAAAATAACTGATATTAAAATGTTGATTAATTCAGATCAGTTTATTTCCTCTAATACACTAGTTTATAACGAACCCAACAACGTTGTATAAATTCCCAATTATACTGCCGACAGGCAAATAAAACTAAACGATATGATAATAGCATAAATAATAATGACAAATATAAAATGTAATACAATAAACTTATTTTTTGCAACCATATTCACCAAATTATAAACTAGATGAGACAACTATGAAAAGTTTATGTATTTATTGGAATAAATATATATGAGATTAGTCGACTATTTTTAAAAACTGAAAACATTTAATATTATCTTTATTGTTAATGCTTGCCGTCACTCCCACCCGATAAAATGTACTAATGACATCTCGAATTCATTTGCATTTTCCATGAACTGTATCCCCTATGATGATATAACATCAAATGTTGGATATATAACTATCGTCCTATTTCATAACTTGCTTATACTGACCTATCAGCATGCTATCTGTGCATATATGAACAAACAATAGATTAAATGTAAATATACTCACTAGGATACAGTAAGTACTCGCAAACAATCTTGATGGTCTGTCGAGTTTAATAATGACATTTATGTGCAGGGTTGAACTCGAAGGTGACTGTAGAGTTCAATACGGGAAAGTCCACAATGGGGACATGGAAACTGGCCTGGAGGTATATTTGCTTCTACTACTGCCTTCCTTTTTGCACTGGCCCCATTGATGTCCTCATGTTGGTTTGCCTCAAATGTCTCTGTGGCTTCGCGCGCCAGGGTGCGCCATCCAGCTCTTCAAGTTGCTTGGGGGTTAATCCAGTGTGTGCGATGTTGGCCTCGACGCAGTCTTTAAAACGTTTCAATGGCCCAACATGCTTTCTGTTTTCCTTAAAGAGCTCACCATGGAGAAGTTTCTCTTGGATTGATCTAGGACCTCATGGTTGTTGATCCTTTTTTTTACCCAAGACAGAGTTCAAGCTTCGCATATGAAAGTACTCCAACAGTTTCATACACTTTCTGTAAAGAGTCCAGGTTTCAAATCCATAAAAAAGGCCGGTGAGGACAACTGTCGGAATGCATTTGTACAACACACGAGCTCGCAGTCTGTCCAGAGCTTTGCTTGGCTTACAGATCCTGGTGTAGATCTCTTTGTCGGGGGAGCACTCTTTAGAAATGACATATTCGATGTGCTTGAATTCCTCCACGGTCTTCAGCTCAGTTTCTTTGTTGAATATGGATGGATGGCGGTCTCTTGTAGCAGGGCTGGGCTGAAACAGCACTTCTGTCTTATCGCAGCAGGTAGTAAGGCGGCACGTGGTGGGGTTTGTTTCAATAAACCTGTTTACAACGATCTGGAGGGCAGATTCTCTGTACGCTAGTAGGACAGTCATTAGCAAAGAAGGCCTCATGGATCAATTTCTCGATCGACTGTTTTCGCACTGAGTCAAAGAGAAGCCCGTTCCGTCAAAACCTGGTGTGCACTCCATCCTCTCTGTCACTGACACTATGATTGAGAACACAGACGAGGAAGAGGTAAACACCCCTCGTTGGAAATCTCAATGGGCTCAGACGCCTCTCCTCTAGAAAGCATCAGACCAGACACTCTCATGAAATAAACAAATCAGGTTCACGAAGTTTCCGAAAGACCGTCCACAAGGCTATCCTGTTGAAAGTATCAAACCTCTTGATCAGGTCAATGAAGACCGCATATAAATCTTGCATGTCACCTTCTGTGTAACGTTATCACAATGCACGAATGGCGAGTATAATCTTAAGATATTTTTGAATATTTTAAAATGCCCAATAATATCAAGTTTTCCCTAGTCTTCAAAATGGCCAGAAATATGGTTGAAAGCGCTAAATCACAAATATTTCGATAATATTTACAATTATTGGAGTCAGATATAGATCTCTTGCACATAAACACGAAAAATTAAATATTTTAAATCCTTACCAATCATCTTTAATGATTTTTTATCAATGAAAGAGTGTTACCTAAATACGCCATGCACGACAAACAGGTTGAATCAAAAGTAGAGCTTGATTTCTGTTTTCTTCGTTGTAGATCGATTGTTTGCCATTTTGTATTAGAGTGGACAAGAAGTCAGAAATCAAGGAAAGACATGTTTATCTAAAATTATTCATGGGAAATCGTTAAGGAAAAACAAACCAAATAGACAAAGAAAATGAATAATCTACAAATCAAATATTAAGAACATGATTTCCCAGAATCTGATCGCTACTTTTGACTCATCCTACATATATTTTTGTCACTGTCTAGGTTGACAATAAGTGTAACAGCTTTTTTCTGCTACTCCCCGGTCCGATAAGTTATTTAAAGGAAACCCATGTTCTTACCCACCAACTCTCTCCTCCCTTAACTATCGTGGTATGCCAGTAACAAAATATTTATTGGTGTGTGCGTATATATACGTGAATGGACATTCGTGTGTATATGTATATTTATATTTGCGTGTCTTTCAGTGTATGTACGTTTGTTTGTGTACGACAACTCCATCTTTCATTTCTCCTTGATGAGTCCACAATTCCTGGGGATAAAATGTCATAGCAGATTGCAATCAAGATGCCAAATACAGAAATAATTGAAAAGAAATGAATGGCGAAATAAATGTGTTTTAATTTCAATTCCGTGGCACGAATCAAGCAATGAGTGCGATCGAAACTGAAATTACCTCTCTTTTGCCGTGAGAAAAACTCACAAAGTTCGAATTAATCAAAAGTTATAATTATTACACTGACTGTCTTCAATCACAGTTTCATCGACTCTCATTCTTTCACTTACATACATAAAACCAAAAACGCCCTTACATATGAGTCTATTAATGAGAGCAAATCTATACAAAATGTCGTTTAGTTTATACAATAAAAATAAAATAGATTTTTGCAGCATTAATTGAGCAACATATTGTTTTATGCCATCATCTTTCAGACAATTGCATAATTTCATTCTCCCAGAACTGTTTATTTTTATAAACAAAGATGATCGAACAGATTTTCAAGTCTTCCATACAATTGGTTTTTAGGATAATTCTTTAAAGATAGAAAAAATGGTAATTCGATATATATGCAATATCTGATGCACATGACGGAATCTTGAAAACTTTCCAACCAATAACAATTTTTACCTGGTCATTAAAGAAATCTGCAAGTTAACATGGAGTATTGCGCCTTTTTTGTTAACTATTTCTGTTCGCTTTTCATCGATTGCTACTGTCGGTAGGTTTTATTAGAAACAATATTTTTTTTTTTTCGAATCAATCTCTCTTGTTTGTTTGAAAAGAACACAGAGAAGAGAAATCCCAATCCTGCTGGACGCGTTGTCTTCTTTAGATGAAAATCGGTCTTTAGTGGTCGTTTATTTTGCTTGAGGCACACAATCAAAACTTTTTACGCTATTAAAAATCACCTAATTTCTAGCAACTGTTAAAATTTGTTTAAAAAATGGAGTATTGAAATAATTTACAGAAATCATGAAACGTTGCAAACCATTTTAACGGGTTCCATCATTCACAGAATTTATTCCTTAAACTGCACAATTTTTTGTTATTTTAGCTTAATTTGCATTTTATTTTTATTAAATAAATAAACTTAAAATTTTCTTCTATCTTCAATATCACTCAATAAATAATTTATCAAATCTGACAAAAAATTCTCGTTGATATGAGAGCTGTTAGAATCAAATGAAGGAATTGTTTTTAGATAAGTAATCATCATCACTACTATAAACGTTTCGCTTCGAATATACTTATCTTGGTTGTTATAAAAAATGTTATTGTCTTAACGTTTCGGTCGTTGTAGCCACTGGTTTCTTCAGCTGTTTGTTATACTCGATAACATTCTCAAAAAGTTGAACTTTAAGCCACTGCCCGAACCAAAAATTGAACCTATAACCAATTATTTAATCCACTAGACCAAGTATCCCTTGGAATATGCAGTGTTGTAATTTTGAATCTTTAAAATTAATATCGGTTAACAGAATGGAATTTTTGAGTGTCCGTTCTTTCTTAATCGAAGGACACTAGACAGTATTCATCTTTACGCTAAGTCGTCAAAGCCTAATATTATACTCAAAAGGAAGTCATCAAAAACCTAACATTGTTATTTAAAGACGTCTTATTACCCAGTCTTACTTTATGTCCATTATCTTGAATTAATTTCACAAGGGTGTTCCATGCATGATCAGCCATGCCTGACGCTTACATCTCTTCTCGGAATATGGCTTTTCGATATTCCTTCACCAGTAGACGACTGGTCTCGGCTTTTTCTTCTTTGTCAAACTACATGAGATCAAATATACAGAATTCTTGGATATGTGAAGGAGGCTTGGTTCGGGTGAAATCTCCGAAGGCTTGAATTGCTTTTAAATACAGTAACTGTAGATCCTCTTCAACTTTTCAGATTACTAATTATGTGTGGTAGACAGACAATGGCAGATTTTTTTTATTGTTCGTCTTAACTCTTCTGTACCTGCTTATGGAAATTCATGTAATGCTTTCCAAATAGTTGTTACCTTGAATGTCATTTCTAATATTGACCATCAGTTGAGTTCGGCCCCAAATTGTGGACAGCAAACAAAATCCCTTTCTTGACACTCTGTATAGATGAAGGGAACTGAAACTCAGGTATTCTCAGGTAAATGTTGGCTTACGATATCCTGTTTTTGCTTGTTATTTGTACATCAAGGCAGATCAATTTATCTTATGCTTCCATTGTATGGAAAGTTTTATTGAACCCACGTGATCCAGCTTTGCTTGCCTTCCCGGTGGAGTGAGAGGATAAAGGTGTCATCTACGCATCTAACACATGCCCGGTTTCAGTGCTGACGTTCTATAGAAATTTCCTCGAAGTATCCCATCTATATTTTTGTCATTACTTGAGATAACATCGCAAACTCATGTTGTTAGCACACAGATTAGTTATTAGTTATCAGATTATTGTAGACTGTCTTAAAGAGGGTCAAGATTCTAAATTGTTTAACCTACAGATCGAGCCTCCTTTGTTGGAACCTTAGTGAATAGAGGCTCACAAATTTCAAGCTAATAAATTTCAAGTTTGGTATAAATGTAAGTATTTTAGGGTCTCTGCACAGTGGGCTACTTTCTTCACACATAACGGATAATTTGTTGATCATGGGTTGATGATAACGATGGAGAAACTTCTCACTGGCTGATAGAGTGGGCTTGACAACTGCCTATGGGCCTCAGTGAAATACCATTTTTATGAATTTTGGGAAGGTTGCACATTACTTTACTTTGAATTAATCCATGCATTTATTCAGGAGTCTCAGAGTTGGATTTTTTACTTTGGTATAGATACCATCCTCAGATGGGCTAGCCAATTCATTTGAATAGTCTGTCTTTTGCATCACAACCGTTTCATTGTACATTTATGCTAGCAGTATGAGGATTTCCTCTCTGTAGAGTTTTCATAACCGTTTTCCTTTATTATATTCGAATGGCTTGGTTTTTCTCCAATGCCAGTTTTTGAATCAGTTACCCGAAGTAACTCTCAAATATCTCTTACAACGAAATAGAACGAAATATGAATCGATGGTAATGTTCCCAACCTCTGGCAACAGGCCACAGTGACCTCCATACCTAAACACACAAACACCGAACCTGACGCTCAAAATTCCAACAATGAACCATTAAATTATAGACTAATATCCCTCACCAGTTGTTTTGTAGAATAATGGTGATGATGATAAAAATCCAGTGGGTTAATAACGTAATTTCAATCAGGATTCAAGAATTAAAAGAAGTTCACTTGACCATCTGGTGCGATTAGAAACCTTTACAAGAGAATCATTTATTTAAATCTTCTAGCAATCGTCTTTCTCAACTTGGAGAAAGCATATGACACATCTTGAAAACATGGAATAGTGAAAGACCTGAAGGACCTCGGCTTGAAAGTCAGAATGCCAGTCTTTATTCAAAACTTCAAAGTGGAAGTGGAAAATACACTTTCAGATTTAAAAAAAAAAAGCTGGAATATGGTACACAGTAAGGAAGAATTTTGTCGGCCAATCTATTTAATAATAGTCGGTAAAAAATGCAGAAAGTGTGAAGTACCTGGTGAGGATTGAATTCACAACAATAGTAAGGAGGCTAACCATTGTTCCATGGCAACGCAGTCTCATTAATAGTCTCATTTTCTCTTCTCTTTTATTGTTCTGACGCTTTTATTATCATTGTGATTCCCAGATGACTCGCAATTATTTTCTGAGATTACAATCTCAAAGATGAAGGTAAGAAAATCTATTATTCAATTCAATTCAATATTTATTGCTTACTCAGCTACCCTCTCTTCACCCCCACATCCACCAATTGTCGCGAAATGAAATCTGCAAAACACTTCACCTCGTTCCAAATGAGGAATTCGCTGCTTCGCTAAAGAGTTTAATTAAAAACTCAACTGAAATCTTCCCATCACGTGTGACTGATATCAATTAATTATTGCTAATTATATATATATATATATATATATATATATATATATATATATATATATATATATATATATATATATATATATATATACGTATATATATGTGTGTGTGTGTGTGTGTGTGTGTGTGTGTGTGTGTGTGTGTGTGTGTGTGTGTGTGATTATGTGCGCATTTAGACAGCAATCTTTCATTAACGGAAGTTTGATTAAATATCGTAGACAAGGATTTTTTATTCCCCAATTTTGTTTAGGGACAAGAGAACGCTTGTCGTCATCTGATAAATATAAATATCTCCCAAACGTTATGAAACTACATAAGATCTTCAGTTTTAGAAATGAGATTTTAAATGCAATATAAGAATTGATAGACACATTTAAACGAAGGAAGAATATCGCTTGTATGTGGCCTCGTGTCTGCGGTCATCATAACACTAAATGTCATAATATCGATTTTCAGTTTTTCAAAATTAAAAGCAAAGAATAGATTATGAGAATATAGTCTGTCACAGTTGATAATAGAACTAACGATTCTAGAAGGAAAGTAGTTTGCACCTACACTTTTAATATCTGTCTATATTTGTGAGACTATTTACACTATTTACAACGTCTGAACGGTTGCCCTCATCTTTATTGCCATATTCACGTCGTTTCGGCGGTTTTACGCTTCGACATTATTCAGGTGATATATGAAGGGAAAAGATATCACCACATTCTGTGTGATGAAGTTGAAATAATAGACAAAGAATATTACTGGAAAATACGAAAAGTTAAGGAATCAGCGCATATGCTAGGCCACAAAAATCTCCTGAACCGACCAAACATAGAAATGAATACAATATGGGGACCAGGAATACAGAGAGCTAGGGAAAAACATTAATAACAGAAATTGTAATATTAGCTCTGGTAAAAAAAATAGTTATGGTACATTAGGTTTATAAGTCTCAAAAATTCACTTGCTGGTGTTCCCAAGGACAGTGGATAATAGCGTTGGTTGAGTAATCGAAAAAGTGACTTAACCCAAAGAGTTGTGAGTTCAATACTTAGTCACAGCAAAGGGAACAAAATCTTGGAGAATTTAGTTACTAAAGGGAATTAATTGAAACTGAGAGATACAAAAAAGGCAAGGTACGTAGAATTAAAATAATCTACCGCTGTGGACTAAATAAAGAGTTCGGTTGGAAATTCCAATATATATCACCTGAGGATACAACGGCGAAACGTCGTGAATATGGCAATATAAATATCTCCACTTTTCTTTCCATCAACCATCAAGATATGCCAACTGTGAAATACCTGTGAAATTTATGCATAAATATAAAATATTTGGTATAAACAACATGAAAATACGTTAAAACGTATACAAAAATACGTGGAAAGAGATTTGAATCCCAGATGTGCAGCCAACCAATTACGGGATGTCATAATAACAGCATAATAAAATAAAAGTACATATGCACTAAAAAAAGGAAAACACAAATACGCTACATTAGTAACATATATTTCAATCTCAAAGTACTTCAGACAATTTTCATTAAATCATGGCAGCCTCTCTTGTCTAAGTAGAAGGAATGACTCCGAAGAGACTTCATATTCGAAAATCTTTATTACTAATGCAGTGTATTTGTGTTTTCTTTTTTTAAGTCGGTACATACTTTTATGTTATTAGTCCTCGATTAAGTTTTGATAAGTGCGGAGCGAAACCCGATTTACCCCACAGATTTCTTCTTGTATTAAATGTCAGTATTCTCTTTTCTTATCTCCATATTTTAAATATGTCCGTTTTCTACGCCATCATTAATTTTTGCATAAGTTTTCATCATTATTTAATACGTTATTGAAACAAAAAACAATGTACATTTACACGCCTCTCCGCCAGAACCAAACAACAATCTTGTTATGGTCCGGTTCCTTGTACCATGGTGATAGTCCAAGGTAGAACCAATAAAGAAGAACTCGAACACGGATATGGAATAACACAGATATATTACAAACAGGAATATATACAGAGAAGTAGAAGTGTTAGTATGAACAATCAGGTTTAGTAGAGAGAACAATGTAGTCTCAACCAGTATCACTATTCCAATGTCTTGCAGTAATTGTCTGAACACGACTCTGTTTCGGACTGCCTCTGACTCGACTCTTGACTCGACTTGAACTACTGACCCCTTGCCTACTGCTGAGGCGCAGTATTTATTAAATATGGAATAGTCCATTCTTATTATTATGGGTAAGATCCCATAACAAATCTCTTCAATGTACAGTACCTCAGAGCACATGTTAAGATCTCGGTCCAGCAAATCAGAGGGTGCATGTTTGCAGATGACACTCACTCAAAAGTGATTCTTCAGCAAGTACCATCCTGCTGAACAAAAAGCCACTAAACTCATTCGCATAGAAATCATCCTTAAAAAGCGCAGGTTTTCTTCATTAACCGGCACCAAATAAAAACATTATACAGCTTCCATTTCCATCAGTTCTCCAAAGCTGGTTCAACGACGCCAAAATAGATAGAGAAAAAAACATCCGACTGACCAAGGCTATTAAGAGCGTTGAGAGACAATACAAATGTGTTTGGGAGAAGAGTAACCTAAGAAAAACAAAACAGATTCTACAAAGTCATAGTAATTCCAACCCCTTCTATATGGTGCCGAATCCTAGGTCATATATCGCGCCGTTTACGCATACACATGCACTTCTATTAGCGTTGTCTTTGAACTATATTATAAAAGAACACAGAAATACCCTCATCACTAACAATGGCTTAACCAAGGTCACAAGTGTTGAAGCTCTACTGAAAAAGATCCAACTACAATAGACTGACCACAATGTGGACGAGTCTGTAGGTGACAAAAAAAAGTGGGACACAAGATATCTAAGAACACCTTGAAAAAGGCACTTATCTCCTATGAACTCGCGCAGAATCAATGAAAACAGAGACAGTCGACAAAGTGACATGGTAGGACAGGTAACCAACTTGGTTCGCAAGGCTGGATCCCACGCTGGCTTCCAGATCCTCTCCTGCAGTGAACGTGTAAAAATGTACCTGTCCCACATGGGTTTCATTAACCACAAACGGACATAGAAATCCCTCCCAATCTTCATTCATGATATAATACAAATTACTATGCAGAAATCAATGCTTCTGAATATTCTAATATATATGTAAATACGCTCACATAGATTGATAAAGTTATGAAGAGACTGAGATAGATAGATAAATAGATAGAGAGAGAGAGAGAGAAATAGATAAAGAAAGACAGAAATTAAACAAAGAGATAGATTAAGAAAGAAAGAAAAAGATAGATAGATAGATAGATAGATAGATAGATAGATAGATAGATAGATAGATAGATAGATAGATAGATACTGAAGTGACTACTGGAATATTAGATTTCCTTTATCTTGATTTACAATGAAATCCAGCAGGTGCCAGTGATGTGAAAACGAAAATAATTAGAACGACACAAAGTTCTCAAGGCTTTCATTTTCTAAGTATAGAAAGAAATATTGCTTTCTCGCATAACTTAATAAGGATATTGAATAAAACTGTCTCATTCTTTTCCTTTGTAAGTGATATTGAATGACCTCTGTGTCTTTCTACCTTAATAACCTTTCAAGAGAAGGTGATGCGAGAATTCGGAAAAAATTTCATTCTTTTTTTCACGAGATCTTGTTGCCGAGAGTCAATGATATACTAACAACAAAGTCATATTTGTTGACTAAAAAAATCGCCCAGTGACATTTTGCCCAAAGTCGAACACGTCGTTTTTCCCGTCAGCAGATAGAGTTGCGTAAGTCGTCGCCAATCGTCATTATAATAGAATGACACATCATGAATTGCTGTTGAGACGAAATATTGAAGGAGATTTGTGCCACTTTAAATCAGTCTAATAATTCTGTAGTTTAGGCGTAGGAATCGATAATGGAATGTCAACACTTGAACTGAAATCTTTAACTCTGTTTTTCCATAACACCTTCATTTGCTATTATTAATATTTATCTAGTATTTCTTTCAGATTAATCTTAGTTGATATTCATCGCAACTCAGACAGTCCTTTTACAGCCACAGAATGAAGAGCGCTGAAAAATAAAGAAGAGCCATTGCCACTCGGTGTTTAAATGATAGAATAGCTGGGCCTCTATTTTACACAATGAATGTAAATAAAACCAATAAAGTCAAGATAATGGTTGAAAATGCTTCATCTAAGAAATTATATTATTGCATCTAGTACTAGATTGCACATAAAGCCAATAAAATTAAGATGAAAGAAATACTCGTCCGAAATTAATAATAGTTGACAATGCTTCATCTAAGAAATTCTATTGTTACATCTAATACTAGGATTGTAAATAAAGCCTGTAAAATGAAGTTGAAAGAAATATTAGTCCATTTTTAATAATGGTTGACAGTGTTTCATCTAATAATTACCTCCGATCAAATCATGCTGAAATCTCCGGTTCCTGTTAAGCAAGTATTTAGATGGGGGTACTGTAATTAACTTCCTACAATTCAAAATATGTTTTGTCTTTAAGGGTTGAGTGGATTTAAAAAATAAATGAATCAGTCAATCATCTAATAATAGAATTTAAGACAATATTACATTTTACTAATGACCGTTGGATGATGTCTGATTGGTTGTGATAAAAAGTAACTAAATTTAAGTTGAAAAATACTAATGAAAATAATAACAATTTACACATCCTTCAAATATATTAACATATTTCTTGATATAATAATAATAATAATAATAATAATAATTCTTTAAGATGATATTACTACAAATTGACTGAAGAAAATATGTCGCTGTCATATCCCTCACATCAGATTTCTTCGTAAGGAATTTCATCAATTATTTCTTTCAACTTCACGAAAACATCCTCATGAAACAGGTAAGTTTTACCAGCGTTTTCATCGATTCAGGCTGTGGTTTTCAATATTATACCTAATATCTGATGCTTTCTAATAAAAGGCTTCATTATTATAAGATCGACTAATATGGGAATTTCTATAATTCCCATTATAATTATGTTATTTTCAAATCTTTTTACTGTTTATGACTTTAATTTGGTTCGTTGATGTCTTTCTTTGATTTCAATAGGCAAAACTATTTCTTTCATTCCCTATAAATATGTTTATGTGTTTATTTGTATAAAAGACGTATTTTTTAAAATCATTTAACTTTAGTAAATATTTTGTGCATGGGAAACTTCTTCAAGCTTTGTCAGTTGCTTTTTCATTAATTCAGATGTATTGCTTTTTGGCAGCATTGGTGAAATTGTATCGACATCGGGTGGTTAGATAAGAAGTAACACGAAAAAGGTATCGAACTCATAATAAAATAATGAAGTGTGTATTTACCCAGATTATCTACATAAACAGCAACAATGCTAAGATGGAATCAAACTTGTAATAAAATAATATTAATAATGAAGAATGTATCGACACGGAGTGTCTTAATAAAATAATAAGAATCAAACAAGTCATAAAATAATAGTAATAACAAAAAGTATATATCACTATAACGTTATGATAAAATGCTACAGTCATAAGATGAATTAAGACAACGTTTCAGTCGGTGTATCCGTCGATCTTCATATATATCATGTATCTTGATCTGGGTAACCTAACTAAATTGAACCCTTTATTTTATTTATGGGGATAGACTGTTCTCGTTCCACTACCCATTTCTGGGGATATCTCGTCTCGTTACCCAAATCGATAAACACCTGATGACGACCGGAGGACACAACAGACAAAACGTTGTGATAAGAACAACAAAGATAAGGACAACAGTCCGAATGTAAATAATAATTTCTCACATCAGAGATTCAGACAGAGATTAAGACGAGTAAAACAATAATGAAATGTGCAAATGAAATGAGATATCTACAGGGTGCGATGTATAAATCATCGTCTAAATGAAACTAACACTGACATCTCATTTTATCAGATATATTTACCAAAAGTATACAAAAATATCTTGAAATACGAAAGAGTAAATTTATTCAATAAAATCGCCATTGACTTCAACCACGGCCTCCAGACGACTTGGAATCTCTTGTAACTTTTCTGGCCGGTATCCTTTTTATTTTGGTGAATGCTGCCATAATTCTCGACTTCCTTTCACCTTTGGTGTTGCATAGAGTTTTGGTCTTTCACTCACCTGTACCCTACACATAATAACCAAGGAGGTTACAGTCTAGGGTGTTAAGTGACCAGTTGTAAGGGGTGATGCGGTCGCAGAAATTGTCTGACAATCATGACTGGGTTCTCCTACTTGTGCGGCATGATGCAGAGTCCTGTTGCCAGACATAGGGTCTTCTAGCAGCCACCCACTTGACCCAGAGCAGCACTATCTCCTCTAGGTATTTGATGTAGGACTCCCTATTGAGTCTGAGGCCCTGTAGGAATATGAATGGACACATAGCATTGCCATAACTAGTGATCACTCCAAACACTTTCGTGATCACTATTAGACTCATCCAACTCTTTCCAAATCCTCTGCACTGTCCTCAGATTTGCACCCACATACTTTGAATGCCAAGCAGTACAGCATGCCGTTTCCAAATTTCAGGCGGAGTGAATTGCGTTATGGTGTTCTTTTTCTCATAGACGGTGCCCAACTGACCCTACTATACTGTGCAGTTGACAGAATCAAAAACAAACAAGGTGCATGCACGACAATTTACTCATCGCAATATGTATATATAAATTTCTGTGACTTCCGTTAGTCTGTCCGTCCGTCCGTTACACCCTCTAAAATAACCATATATTGACTGATCGAAACCAAATTTTGGAGTGACGTGCAAACAGGTAAGGGAGTACAAAGTACAGTTGGTTTTACTAGTTTGCGTAGCTTAGTACAATACATTTTCATTGATTGTTTTGGAAAAATTAAAAGTTTTATTATTTAACATACGAAATACTCCCACACTTTTAAAAAACAATTTAATCAACAATACTAAACACGGTGAGGAATTCAAAGTGCTAACTCGTGTTGGGAAAATTCTCGTTTATAAAATGTAAGGCTAAGCATGTCAGAACGAACGAAATTGTCTCCCTTTCTGATCATAGCTCAGTTGGCTATAGAAGCGATTATATTGTTGTAGAGTAGTTTTCACAGTGGAGGCTTGTATTTTCAACTAAGTCGTCCTAAACTAGGTTCGACGTACAAAACGTTAGGAACATGAAATAAGAGTTAATGACGCAGCAATCTAGTTGTGATGGTTGATACTTCAATGTCCGACATCGACTGACTTACTCAACACCACTGAGCTCCACTGGCGACCGCTACTACTACTACTACTACTACTTATTATGTGTGGGAGAGTCTATTAATAATAGAATAGGTAATGTTCTGGTATAACATATATGTTGGAAGAGTTAGACCCTTTCCAAATCCTCTTTCGATACACACTGCATGCACTGATTTCATGTAAGTAGTGCGAAGAAAAGAACTATCCAGAGGGCAGGTAAATCATGTTGACCCTTACATTGATAATTCCGCATTCAAATGTATATATGAGGCATCACTCTGTAATACACACACACACACACACACACACACATATATATATATATATATAATCGTCGGCTACATTTGACTTCATTTCTGGCCATGCTCCTGATCTAATTATTCATTATCTAAAGTTGAAATACTGACAACTCTTCCGAAAAACTACTCACAGATTATTTTCAAATCTGTGTAATTTAAAGTGTGATTAAATTTTGCAAATATATTCGCTGACAACTTTCAATTGCAAGTCAATTTAAATTTCATTTGCCTTAATGTGTATCATTAATTTGCTGACCCGACAGTTCGATCCCTCTTTCCATTGATTCCAGATTAGTCACTAGACTCGTAGGATCCGGGTTGAACAAAGAAAAACAAAGGAACAACTATTATTCATCTCATCAATCATTTTCCAAATACATATTGACTGCAATGCGGATGTCTGGTCAACAAATTTAGGATTCTTACATCGAATCGATTTATTTAGTACGTGAGATTTTTCGTTCAGCTGATCCAGTCGACTTTAATACGTTTTCTCCAGTGTGCAGGTAGGTCGACAAAATAAATACTATTTAAAATAAAAACATAACGTCTACTTACTTTACGAGTATCCACTAAAATAATGTCTGAAGTAATATATATATATGTGTGTGTGTGTGTGTGTAGGGGGGGGGCATAGTCTATAAATTAATAAATGTTGAAGCAACTTATCTCTTGACCATCACCAGAGTTTCGCGTAACACTTCTCAATAGTTTCAATAGGTCTGATAAATTTTATTACCAAATATCATATTCATACTACAGCTCGTTAACAATGTGACAATATTGAAATATGTGGACGCAATTAAAATGTGCGATATTTTAAAATTTACGGGTCATAAAATAAACATAACATATTCAACAAGCATTATATAATACAGAAAATAGAGACATGAAGATATCGTAAAATGCAAGCTTACCAATTATTTATTTTAAGTTAGTTATTTAATTATATATTTAATTTATTTTATTTAATCATTATATATTATTGATTCTCAAGTAGCTGAACGTGATGAGCATTGGAGTTAGTCAAGTGATAAATCATTTGAATATTTATTCATTTATGTATAGACTTTTGTCGTTGTAATTATCTATTTGATAAAAATTCTGAAGCTCATCAAATGTGTTAAATTCTAGAACTTTTTCGTATTTTTATAGGTGTCTTTCAGTTGTATTATTTTTATTATTATTATTATTTTCTTTGATTTCTGGCGTTTACACATTTCTTTCCGGGTCCCGCCCAGGGACCTAAGGTTAGAAATGGCGTCATGACACTTTCCACTGACAAAAAAAAAAAAAAAATTAAATTACATCGATAAAGCCCTTCGTAAGGTGTGGGCTGTACTTATCAGAACAATTTTTTGTATCTCCTTGAGGCATGGACTTCCAGGAATCCCTTCAATTAGTCTACTGCAATCTTTTCCAACCAGTCCTAGGGTTCCAACTACAACAGGGATTGTTGATGTTCCCATATGCCACATTTTCGAGATTTCTATTTCAAGGTCCTTGTACTTTGACAACTTTTTGAATATCTTTAAAGATACATTGCAGTCAACAGGGACTGCCATATCAATAAGGAGGCACCATTTTTGTTTGTGGTCTTTACTAACAATATCTGGCCGGTTGGCCCTGATTGTTCTGTCAGTGTGTATTGTGTAGTCCCATAGAATTGTAACATGCCCTATCTCCGTAACCGGGTCTGGCTGGTGTTCATACCAGTTTCTTTCAGTTTCCTTCCCGTAGAAGTTGCAGATTTTCCAGTGCAGATATTGGCCCACTCTGTCATGTCGGGTTTTATATTCAGTGGGTGCCAACACCGTGCAACCTGATACAAGATGATCAATCGTCTCTGGATATTTATCACAGAATCTGCATTTTGGGCTAACACAATATTTTAGTATATGTGCTTGATAATTCCTAGTTAGCAAGCATTGATCTTGCGCAGCAAGGATAAAACCTTCAGTTTCCGCTTTCAACCCTGCACTACGTAGCCACTGATGGGTACGGGTTTTGTCTACGTCAGCTTGTTTGGTACGGGCAGAGTATTGGCCATGAAGTGGTTTATCTTGCCATCGCTTCTGTATCTGGTTGGTTGCATTCGTCTTTGCTGTCTTTTTTAGGTATTTTGCAGTTTCAGCCGGTGTATTGTGCTGTAGTTGCATCTCTACGCCCATTTGAAACTCCATTTTGAATTTGTTGGCTTCTTTCATTACGGATTATTATTATTATTATTATTTCCTTTGATTTCTGTTGTATAGGAAGAGAGAGAGAAAAAAACAGTGCACACTGTTTCTCTCTCCATATATATATATATATATATATATATATATATATATATATATATATATAACTCAGATGAGTTACACCAGGGAATTTGTGAAGAATGGCGCTATATTGAGTCTAATTCGTTTTGTGATTCGAAATTTTGGCATTTGTTTTTGTTCCTTGAGCTGAGATTCGGATCACTGCCACGTGGAAGACTAAAAGCAGAGCATTAACTAAGTTAACCTTGCAATTCTGAACCACTCAGTAAAGATCGAATTTAATACAATCATTTTAGAAGTCTCTTTGAAGCCAGTTATAAGCGGTCGTTTGCAAATCTTTTTGCGAAACTTTGAGAAACTCAACATTAGGAAGTTACTGATACGAATATCAGTCAGCGTTTAAACACCTGTTTTTCTCTTCTTGACACAGAAAAGTAGATTTACTCTGAGAATCTGAAATGAAGAAATGTATATTCAGATCGAAGACGAGCAACTCCAAAAATCAAATAAACTGCACAAAATACCCAACGGAAACACTGTAAAACTTAACTATAACTGTACTGAAAATAAGCTACAAATCAACAACAGAAAATCACAAGTAAACTACAAATGCATGCAAATTTCATCTGTAGTTGCAGAATAATGTCTAAATGTCCATTAGATGGTAAATGCCTACAAGCCAATTTAATATACGAAGTTATTTCAAGATCGAAAGGAAACCACAAAAATATATATAAGAATAAATGAGGGTGTTTTGAAACAAAGATGCTCATTATATAAAACATCATTTAATTAAAAAAAAAATGTATGAAACCTTAAAAACATGCAAAAACAAGGAAAAAATAAAATAGAAAAATAACGCCAGCTCACACCATCTGAAAGCAAATTAAACTAAAAATATTGCAACACTCACTTTTCCAGAACAATATGACCAAAAGATTAGAGCTGGTTTAAGAAAATAAAACAAAACATGGATAGAAATAACGTCGGATAAAAATCCATTCATATATATATATATATATATATATATATATATATATATATATATATATATATAAAGTGTGTGTGTGTGTGTGTGTGTGTGTGTGTGTGTGTGTGTGTGCGCGCGCGTGTGTGTGTGTGTGTGCGTGTGTGCGTGTGCGTGTGTGTGTGTAACGAATGCACGGCCGCAATTTTCGACGGCTTTGCACCAAAATTTACATGCATATACTCCAAGTTAGTGGGAAGGCCAAGACCGACTTTGTATTTCCCAACTCCCATCGATAGTGGAAATAATCGATTTTTTCATGCTTCTACGGCAGTTTTCATGTAGTTTGTGGCCATTTTCTACTGGCCGGAGTGAGAGCCAATAGCTGGCTGCCACGAATAGGCAGGAAGATTCTATTGGCCAGCGTGAGAGCCAACAGCTGACTGACACGAATGTTAAGTAGCATGGTAGCATGCAAAAAAAATCGATAGCTGTATTCGTCACAAGTGGGAAAAATTTAAATCTGCATGGCACTTTACTCCAATTGGCTCATTCGCTTACTTAAACTCAACGTTGATTCTGATTCCGCGGAACTGGGTTGGGTGTGAAAAAAGTATTTGATGTTAACATTCTTTTTTCATTCGGTTTTTCCAGTTACGAGTCCTTTTTTAAAGCTGATCGTTTTGTGTTCATTTTGTTTAGTTCTTTTTTCGTAACAGATTTAATGTTTAGTATAGAGCTTAGAAAAAATTCGCAGTGTGAGATAGGCAAGAAGTAAGGCATGTAGCAACATCAGCACGGCAAAGGGAACTCCTTTTAAGGCAAGGAAGGGCAAAAATATTTTAAGTCAAGTGTATAGCGATTGCTGTATGAGTCGTACGATTTTTGAATCAAGCACGGGCAACGCCGGGCCATGCTGCTAGTACATATATATATATGTGTGTATGTGTGTGTGTGTGCGTGTGTGTGCGTGCGTGTATATATGTGTGTGTTGTTCGCGCGCGTGCATGTGTGTTCGCGTGCGTGCATGTGTGTTCGCGTGCGTCCATGTGTGTTCGCGCGCGCGTGTGTGTATTCGCGCGCATGTGTGTATATGTGTATTGGCAAAGTGTTTTTCATAATGTCTCTATTTATACTAAATAGTTTTTCAACTAATCGTTATGCTTCATTTTATTTCATTTTTTTTATTATTATTCTTCCTTTAATGTTGTCAACAGTTCTTAATATCTTATGTCTTCCTGGACATCTCCCAGTTTTTCATCTACAAATCTTATGAACATTTCTGAACACTACAACTGGACATTAATTTTGTTTTAGTTATGTTCAATTTTAAACCTACACTAAGAATTCCTTGTAGAAATCATTCAGCATTCCTTGTAATTCATTCAATGAGTCAGTTACGCGAAACAAATTGTAAGTGGTTTAAATATTCTCATTTTATGTTTACGCCAATCCCTACTGAGTTGATTTTCCAGAAAATAATTTCAAGTCTTGATGTTATTAGTTTAATTAAATTTGTATCGCCCTTCCCTCACTCCTTTTAAAATCTTTACGTTTTCTGTTGAATTATTGCAGCAGTTTTTTTATATATAAAATTGTTGTTAATACCTTTACTTTCGTAGTGAGTTAAAGAATGTTGAGAACTCTAGTGATTTAAAAAAAAAAAATTTATTATCAACAAAAGCTAAACAATTTAGTTTGCTATATTCTCTTGACCCGCCCCCTACAGTAAGCAGCGAGGCAGATGAACAGTTTTACATTTTACTCTTATAAGAATGTGCGATATATATATATATATATATATATATATATATATATATATATATATATATATATATATGTGTGTGTGTGTGTGTGGAGTGATAGGAGACAATTATATTTCGAAAATTATTTAATCGTGCATGGGAATCCTGTTTATAATCTTGCAGTCTATGACATATAAACAGGTATGAATTGATATGAACATGTGGAAATTGATATTAAGAGACGAAAATAAATCGGTATGTAGATATGAACAGACATAGATAGATAGATAGATAGATAGATAGATAGATAGATAGATAGATAGATAGATAGATAGATAGATAGATTTTAAAAGACTGAAGTTAAAATAAAGGAAGTATTGAATATAAAAGAATAGAAAAGAAAGGTGTGTTGTTGAAGTTATTAATTTATGAATACATATAAAAACTACGTAAAATTTTCGTTTCGGTTCGACGATACCAAACACCCAAATATCTTTTGTATGTTTCCCTAAAGGAGTATCTGTTCACAACCAGCCGAATCATATGACCCACAAAACTGGTTTGTTTGTGCTTTCGAAATCTAACCTTACCACGTAAAAAACAATTTATTCAAATAGAAATAATGCACAAGAAGTTGTGTACAAAGTTTGCGATTTGGCCAAACAGCGACTGTTACAATCACATGCGGTGCTTAAACTTATTGAAAAATATCTTCGATACTTTTCTTAGTTAATATTATAATTAAAATTGTACATATCACGTGTTCTATCTTGATGGTTTTGAACAATTAAAACCAATCTGAAAATAAGGAATATTAAACTCTTGCCATTACAACTCCGTCTCATTTTACATCTACTATATTATTTAAAAAGTAGCTTCTGGAAGTAGAAAACTGGTCATGCGATGTTATAAGATTTACTATAAACTAGCAGATGTTCGCCATTTTGTATTTGAGGAAAATTCATTTTCATGTAACATCCTGTAAACGAACAAAAGAAGGCCAAAATATGATAGTATTTGTAAATTATTTATTCCTAATTTAAAAGAGATATTTAATGATGTTAGAAGATTATATTTTTTAGCATATAAATGCAACTAACATGTCTTTGATCAAGATTCCATAATTACGTGCCTGTATACATATGAATGTGTAAATACAAATATGTATAAGCACACACACACATTAAGAAAGTGAAACAGGTTTGGTTTGGTTTACGGCGTATCAACATCAATGGGTTATTTAATTGTGACAAAATTTTTATTGCTGGTAATTTTTTTTTCAAAAAATGTATCGCTGGTAATATCTTTTTTTTTATTTTTTCAAAAATGTATTTCTGGTAATATTTTTTATAAAGTATTTCTGGTATTAAATACTATTTTTACACTTTCATAGTATTTTGACCCAAGTTTGGATGTTAATATTTGCCAATAGCTGGAACCCTAACAAGTGCTACCACCCCGGGTCAGGGTGGACCTGGGAACACCAACAATTAAGAGGTGGTTCCACGCTCCTCGAAACCTCCTGATCAGAGGCCTTGCTGTTGAACGTAGTTTATCGTCTTACCCAGGACACGAATGAAGTTTATCGTCATACCCAGGACGGAAGTGAAACAGACAGAAGGAAATATAATAGACAAACATGTTTCATTATTGTTCTTAGTTCGATAGTCAAAGTGTTCACTGCATATGTAACCTTGTATCAGACAAATTAATGTTTTTAAATACCCTTAAACAGTGTACCTTTTATTAATTATATACAGCCGGTTATACACATAATTCATTTGTTATGTCTATAATTATTTGCTTAGATGAAAATAGTATATCTTACATCATTTCCTATATATAATATATATAGTTCTATCTCACAACATTTAAAGACACATTTCTATCCACCTTCGCAATACAGGTAAATACTTGATGACAACACCAATATACAACACTATGAAAATATTAAACCACATTTTTAAATTCTCGAAACCCTCTACATCAAAAGCAGCCAACCAATACTAATCAAAATTTATTACGAGTAAAGTAGCAATGTTTTAAAATGAATTTGAATTTATTAACATTTACCATCATGTTGCAATTTACCATCTCTCGTTACCTATCTTGCATTGGGAACGCGAGTTTCAGCCTTTACAAGGCCCGGGGGCCACTCGGTGGAGGGTTACATTTGGAGGCCATTTGTATGTAAAGAAGTGAAAGATAACGCGCTTAACCCTAGCTTTGAATAAGTTAAGATTGTTTGTTCACAAAACATCGTAGCCACAACGATTAATTCTAAAATAATTATAACAGAACGTATTTACAAAATCGCGTGTTTATAAAAATCATCGCCACAAAGATTACAATTACATTAGGTTTGTCTTCACAATTCACCCCTGAGGATGATCTCGAATGAAGTCGAAAGTACTTTAAGAAAAAATATGGGAGGGGAAAGTGTTTTGGAATCATTCCTATCAGATTGAAACCAACAATTATTATTGTGTGGTATCATCTTACCCAACAGTAATTTTAAGTACCTAATCACCAAGTTTCCTCTGGTGTCTATTAGAAAAAAAGGGTCACTGTAGAAGATTTTATCTATAAACATTTGAGACGTTTCATTCTGATGGTAAAGCTTTTCAGTCCTTGTCCACCAGTTTTCCCAAGAACGTATATTCTATCAAGACCAGATTCAGGGTGATGCATGGGATCTTTATTTAGTTGCTTACGTATTTCGGAATCAAAGAGTTCTATATCCCTAAAGCTCCATTTTATAACGCGAAAGTTGTGTAGGTAACAACATGTATTGCCAGAGAATTTATTGCGTCTATCTTATTCGGTGAATTCGGTTCTGACTGAAGCACTCTACGGTAGTAATCGTTCCTTATCTTTTCCTTCATTTTTTATTGTTATATGATATCATTTCCTAAGTATTTGTAAACTGATATAGGTGTTGATATCTAGCATTCTATTTTAGACTTGACAAATTTTACTGATTTAAAAGGTACCTGAAATCCTTTACTATCTCCAGTAAGGATTTGAGATAGTTGAGATCGCATAAAGCTTGAGTTCATCCATGTAGAAAGGGGGGGATGGTATGTTTGCAGATTTTGTGGCCCCTGTTTGAATCGTTGATCAATTTGGTCAGAGGCAAAAAGAGCAAGACAGAAGAGGAGTGGCGAAAGCGACTACCCTTTGTATAGTTGATGCTTATATTATTTATTTTAACATCACCGTTTGTGTGGTTAAATATGATGGATGTCTTCCATGCATGCAGGCTGGTTGCTTGGTAGGTTGGTTGCTTGGTAGGTGGTAGGTTGGTTGCTTGGTTGCTTGGTAGGTTGGTTGCTTGGTAGGTTGGTAGGTTGGTTGCTTGGTAGGTTGGTTGCTTGGTAGGTTGGTAGGTTGGTTGCTTGGTAGGTTGGTTGCTTGGTAGGTTGGTTGCTTGGTAGGTTGGTTGCTTGGTAGGTTGGTAGATTGGTTGCTTGGTAGGTTGGTTGCTTTGTAGGTTGGTAGGTTGGTTGCTTGGTAGGTTGGCTGCTTAGTAGGTTGGTAGGTTGGTTGCTTGATAGGTTGGTTGCTTGGTTGATTTTGTTTAGCGGCTTATCAACCATTATAGGTTATTTAATGCTGAATTCTAAATATTTTGAAGATGATTTTACGATTTCAACTAAATATATTTTGAACGCAATTTTATATCTTCAACTACATATAAAATGTATTATACTATAAAAATATATATTTATACTTTCATGGTGTTTTAGTTTTGTTTGGTGGGGGTCACTATTTTCCCATAGTTGGGTCCTGCTTCCATACCAGGTTAGGGTGGACCTGGGAACAACAGCAATTAAAAAGTGCTTTCACGCTTCTCAAAGCCTCCAATCTCCCGATCAGAGGCCTTGCTACCGGATGTAGTTTATCGTCATACTAGTTTCTAATAAATTCAATGATTTTGGATGAAATTCCATCTGTAGAGCTTTAATGACTCATCCATGGGAGACAATGTAAAAAGCTTTTTAGTAATCTATTCAAGCAGTGAACTCTTTCAGTTTTCCTGTATCATCTTTGTTAATCAAGAGTTGATCCATGCAAGCATATGACCCTTTCTGCATCCATTTTGTTCTTTAGGAAAAGTTTATTTTCTTACATTATGTGACATCATTCGGCTGGTGTTCGTACCATATATCCGGGACTTCAATACAATAGTTCGAACAGATGCGCCAATGAATATATTGCCCTAGCCTGTCATATCTAATAATGCATTCTTTCTCGGGAAGAGATGAGCAGCCTGATACTATGTCGTCAACAGTTTCATCAAATTTATGGCATAAGCAAAAGCGGGATTTGATCCATCTTTATTGATTTTAGCCTTGTACGCATTGGGCTGCTATAATATGGCCTTCTGTCCCCCCGCCCTTAAAACTACTGCTCCTAAGCCATTTATGGGTTTGGTGACTATCGATATCTGGTTCATCCAGACGCTTTGAGTTCTTTCCATACAAGGGTCTAGATCTCCATCTTTGTTTAAGAGTTTTCCTATGAACCGCCACTAAGGCAGTTTTCTTTGATGCAGCGGTTGGAGCTTCAGGATATTATTATTATTATTATTATTATTATTTATTTCCTTTGATTTCTGGCGTTCACACATTTCTTTCCGGGTCCCGCCCAGGGACCTAATGTTAGATATATTACAGTCTGCAGGGACTATCATGTCAATGAGAAAGCACACATCTATCATTGTTACATGACATTATCTCTGTAATCGGGTCTGGGTGGTGTACGTACCAATTTCTTGCATTTTCCTTCCCGTAAAATTTGGAAATTTTCCAGTGCAGATGTTAACCCACCCTGCCATGATGAGTTTTATATTCTATTGACGTTAATACTGTCCAACCTGATACAATATGGTCAATCGTTTCTGCATATTCATCACGGAATCTACATTTCGCGATAACCAATTTTCAGTATGTTTGCTTGGTAATTCCTAATCAACAAACATTGGTCCTGTGCATCAAAAATGAAACCTTCAGCTTTTCAACCTACATGACGTAACCACTGATGGACATGGGATTTACCCACACCAGATCGTTTGGCACAGGCAGAGTATAGGCCATGAAAAAGTTAATGTTGCCATCGTTTCTACATTTGTTCCATTGCATTTGCTTCTGTCATCTTTTTTAAGGCTATTTGCTGCTGCAGTAGGTTCTACTGTGATTCACTTGTACTTCTTTATCCACTTGAAATTCAATTTTGAATATGTTAGCTTCCTTTATTACAAAATAAAGTTTCTTATTTCTTTCATGTTCTTTGCTACAGATCGTCATCCAGTTTTTCTGTAGTTTCTAAGTATCTTTGAAGACCGATTGTTGTAGTTTTGTAAGATAATTCTAGTTGAGGTAATCCTCTGCCTCCTTCGGATCTAGATACATACAGACAATAAACATCGGCCTTAGGGTGATGCATGCGGTGGCAATTGAGAAATTTTCTCGTTTTAATAGCTATTGTCTAGTTAAGGATGTTGAAACTGTATTGCATCACAGGGACAACCAAAGTGTTTATGGCTAATATCTTGTTTTGTGAATTTAACTCGGTATTTAACACCTTATCAAACACCTGTGGCATTCTTTTCTTACTTTCTCCTTTATTTGTGTATACTCTCCTTCACTGATTCCTAGGTACTTATAGGCTTCTTCTTGTTCCAGTCCTCTAATCATTGTGACAAAATCGTCCATACCGTTGTCATCAGTGAAATATTTTACAGTAGTGGAAACTTTCACCTCATTGTGTCTTTGCCAAAACGTTTGCGATCATCCATGTAAAATAAGTGATTAAATATTTTGTTGTTTATTTTATATCCATAGTTATCACTGTTTAGTTTATGTGAAAGAGAGATTTATGGACAGACAAAACAGAAAGATGACAAGGCGTCTTCTTGAAAATTTTATAGTCGGATATTCAAACAATTGAAAGTGGCAATGCTTTTGCTGTGATTTAGGTATAATTCTGTTTTCCAGTTCTATGCTATATTTAAAGAAGTTTACTATCAGAGAGGAGACTTTGTATTTTTTCAATGCCTTAATGATCCAATAGTGTAGCACACTATCAAAGGCTTTACTGTTTCTATTCAAGATGTGCTGAGATTTCTACCCTTTTCCTGCAATTTTCCAGGATTATTTTATTTATCAATAGTTGATCTTTGTAACCATATGAGCACCTTCGGCATCCTTTCTGCTCTCGAGAAAAGAATAAGTACAATCAATCAGTATAGACGTGATTAATTTATATGTGGTGAACAGACACATTATTGGCCTATAAATATTGGTCCTCTGTTGCACCCTTTTTTGATAGGAAATATGTAATACCTTCAGTGATCCATTCTGGAATTTCATTAAGATTATTAATTAGCATTGATAAAGTTTGGGTAAGGTTTTTTATGGATTGATGACAGATGATAGAGCCAAATGTTGGGCACCTTTTCATTTCCTGGAGATTTTCATTTGGGGAATTTTGTTAAAGCCTACCTAACGTTAATCTTGGATATATCTTTCCATTCTTGCACAGGTTTATCTTTTATTCTTTCTTGTTCTCTTTTTATCTACTCTCCATTGAAAAACAAATGAAAATAAAGAAAGGAAACTAAACGTTTTCGACTAAAAGTGATCGACATGAATGTTGTTTCGAAGAAAAGGTACGTCATAAATATTTCGAAACAAATAACGACGTTATGAAAAAAAAAAGTTCGGAGCGATGACATTCGTGTCTCTGGGATTCTGGCAAAACAATGTGATTTTGCGCATAAATAAAAGTTAATTTCTATACTGCTAGGATGTGTACTTCTGCCTCATGACCCAAAGAGGAAAGATAATTAAGTGTCGATTATTTTGTTACTCTTCCAACCCCGCACGTACAAAAGACTTAAGAGACAACACTGAACGTAACATAAGATTACCATCATTTCAATGAAAAGAAGAGGATTCCGATAGTTTTTTTTTTCCTCAATTCTTAATACAGGTTGAGAATCTTTTATCTTGAATTCTTGGGACCGCGAGTGCTTCAGTTTCAATTTTTTTTTCTGCTTCAAAATGCTATTGTACAGCGCCTGGTAGTAATGAAGCTGTAATATCGGGCCATTTTTCGAACGATTTCTACTTATGTAGAAATCACTTTCACGATGTCAAATTTCTAGAAGATGTCTGACACTGTCGGGCTCTACTTATCCCTAATGAATACAGATTGTTTAAAATAACTGTCAGTCGATGTTTTACTATGTCAGGTTTTGTCAGACAGCAATTAGATTTACCTGATTTAAAATTTATATACTGGCTGTCGCGAACTCTATCTGAAAATTTTATTAAGCAGTACCTACATCTCGACATTGTCAGAAATTAAGACTTCAATTTGAAATCCGAATGCTTTAATATGCAAATTGAGATAAAAAAAAAAAAAAAACAACTTTACTGTTATGCTAAAATGGATTGGTCACACGTTATATCCGGTTAAATAAAAAAAAAGTATAACAATTTAGAAAAAAAAGAAAGAGAGAGAAAGAGAGAATAAAAAAAATACTTAATGCAGAACATTTAAGACGTCCTAATACAATCAACCTAGACAACACACAGGACAGGACATACTCTGTGTATATGGAACAAGTAGCAACCCTAATCACAAGATAAACCGAAAATGAAGTTATTTGACTGATATCCGAATCAGCAGATATTTTACGTCACTTTTTATGAAATAAAACGGAGAAATAAGTGAGTCATAAAAATGACAAGAAAAGACTTTGATTTCATTTTGTTATACTTTATAATTCTAACCAGAAAAATACGAAATATTTTGCTTTCTACTGTTTGAATTATTCGATCGAAACAATGATGGAAAGAGAGACAAAATCGGAAGTTGCTTTTGCGAACTGCTGCTGCTGCTGATACTCACAGAACCAGTAAGCCTCGCGAACTTCCTCTATTTTCTACCTTTTTATCACTCATACTTCATTTTTAGCTTCTTTCTGTTTTACAATAAATTCAATATAAATACACTCTCTTTCTTTCTCTCTCTCTCTCTCTCTCTCTCTCTCTCTCTCTCTCTCTGTATCCCCTTTTCTCTTAGTATCTTTCATGTAATATTTTTCATCTCTCTCTCCATCATTCTCATTCACATTTACTTTGTGCACCTTCCCTTATGTCAACTTCATTCTATCTTCTTCGTTTTTCTCTCTATCTCTGTTTCTCTCTCTCTCTCTCTCTCTTTCTCTCTCAATATTTTAATTTTTAACCGTAACATTTTTCACCTTTTTTCATCTCACCCACATACATTTGTTTCCTTTCTCTCTTATTCACACGTTTTTCTTTCTTTTCAATTGTTCTATTATATTACTCTCTCTCTCTCTCTCTCACATACACACTCTTACAGTCATCCATTTTCTTCCTCTTTTCTACATCGATACTCCCTATCTCTCTTCCTTAATTGCCTTTATTTTTTCTTTCTATCTGCTACACACAGATTAGATAGAAAGAAATTCAATTTGATCTCCAGGCTTGGCCTGTTGAGCTATACTGTCTATATACATAAACTCTCTGTCTCCGACAGTGAGTACACTTTCCTTATAAATATAGAATATCTTAATATATATATATATATATATATATATATATATATATATATATATATATATATAAAGAAATATACATACTTTTACATTAATTGCACTGCCCGAGTTTCATTCCAAGCAATTGTCAAGTAGAGGAATTATTATTTTATTTTGGATTGCCCAAAATAAAAATAAAAATGATAATTCTACCACTTGACAATTGCTTCGGAATGAAACTCAGAGCAGTGCAATTAATGTAAGGTATTATGTATATTTCACATATATTAAATAGCTGCGTTATTTAACATTGAGCACTGATTTTGCTTACACTATAAAGTATTTATATGTATTTGTATACGATCGCATGCTCGTATACCTACCTATATTTACCAGTTCGGTTCCTCTCTCTCTCTCTCTCTCTCTATATATATATATATATATATATATATATATATATAAATAAAAAAAAATAACAAACTTCTAAAAATGTTCTTGTCTCGCGCATAATATATATATATATATATATATATATATATATATATATATATATATATGTTTCATTGAATAATTTAGACAAGTTTTGTTTACTTATTTTCAGTTGGACTCTTTCATATTCATTGTCAAGTTATCTGGTGTCTTAAAGAAAGCATTCTGCCAAAATATACGCAATATATATATATATATATATATATATATATATATATATATATATATATATCAGGCCACCTGACGATTGCATCCCGCATAAAAACCTTTTATATTTATATTTACATACACTCTATCTCTGATATTGAGCCCTTTATCCCATAAATATAGCACACATTGAAACCATATTTCTTCATATACATATATATATATATATATATATATATATATATATATATATATATATATATATATATATATATTATTTAAAATATTATTTCGCTACACAGTTCTAACCATGTTTCAAAAATGGAAGCTAAAAGCCACGAATTTAATTTTGTGATTAAATTAAAGACATTAATTCCATTTCATCCTCAAGCGAATTTTGGAGTAACTTTTTAAAATTACTGGGTTTTAAAGACACAGCTAAAACAAAATTCATGTTTCGAAGGTTACAGATAAATCTATTTTTCTAGACAGGGGTGGCTGGGTTTTCAATATGTCTATAATTTAATGTATCAGTTATTGCTACGTTTTCAATATGTCTATAATTTAATGCATCAGTTATTGCTACGTTTTTATATATATATATATATATATATATATAGTTTGAACTCTTTCCTTCACTTAGTTTTCTAGTTTTTATCAGTCTCAGTTCTTTCTTTCTTTAATTCTTTCTTTCTTTTTTCTTCATATCGCACACCTCTTTTTTAATCTAATACTCTTTCTATTACCGTTATCCCATTGATTTCTGTTTATCTATTTCGTACTCCCTCGTATTTTTCTTTATGTATTTTTCTAATTTTTCTTCCAATATTTTCATTTCTACTCTTTCTCTCTTGTTTGACTTTCCTTTCTCTTTCATTTCTTGTCTCTCTGTTTCCCCTTTCATGTCTGTCCCTTTTTGTTATTTTCTCTCTAAATATCCCCCCCAATCTCTCGATCTCCGGTTGTAACACAAGTAAAAAAAAATGATTTTACATTTTCTTCTGTTCATGTCTCTCTGCTGGTTCTTCTTATACATAAACTTGTCAAACATTCCTATCCGTGGGTTTCGTACCAGCAGATTCAACCAACCAATGTTCGAATATATATATATATATATATATGTATATATATAGAGAGAGAGATGTTCTGAAAAGCAACATTTGAATTTATCACCTGCTGAATCCTACGTGAATGAAGTGATGCATAGATTGTAGACTCCTGCCAATTTACGAATCCTCAATCATCTCTCAGCACTCGTTGTTTATGCACTATTCGTCCGCTTTGCTTCTAATTCGTGTACCCGCCATGTCTTTTTCATATTCGGAATTTGTAATGGAAACTTTTTTTTTTTAATTTAGTCCTTTATTAAGTAAATATGGTACTTTTTAAAAAGATTCAATAACTATTTGATTTTTATGTAGATTATTAAAAAATCAGGTATTTTAAACTAAAAAATTTCTAACGCAAATTATTAGAGATTTTTAAGGTTTTCAGCTAAATAAATCTATGCGCTATTACTTTTCACAAGTATCTCAGTTTTTATGGAGTGTAAACATTTTTATAACTTTCTTTCTATTAATGGCGCAGATATTTTGACGATAAAATTTACTCTGGAACGTATTTAGAGTTAATTTTCTCTTGAGTACGAACTTCCAACCGAAAATGTTTATTCATGCTTTCAGTATCGCCATAATTATTTTTCAATGAAATTTGCACGCTATATTTTTAATTTTTTCCTTGCATTTTTTAATTTACTTAATTTACTTTTTAATTTGCGTGACGTCATTTTTAAATTTACTTTGCATTTTTATTTGCTTAATATCATTTGCTTAATTTATTTTTAATTTGCGTGACGTCATTTTTAAATTTACTTTGCATTTTTATTTGCTTAATATCATTTGCTTAATTTACTTTTTAATTTGCGTGACGTCATTTTTAAATTTACTTTGCATTTTTATTTGCTTAATATCATTTGCTTTTTTTACTTTTTTTCATTTGCTTCCGGAGATTTTTTGTTGTTGTTAGTTTTTTTTTTCTTTTTTGTTTTTTCGTTTTGTTTTTTGTTTTGTTTTTTTGCTTGCCTTGTATTTTGATTTGTTTGCGATATTTTTAAGGTCATTGCATTTATTTGACTTTTCATCTATCATATTTTTGTTAACTTGCTTGTGTTACTTTTTTAATTTCTATGCAATATTTTTAAATTTGTATGCTTTTATTTGCTTGCCTTACTTTATAAATTGTTTGTTGTATTTCTTTTAATTTTCTTGCATTTCTTTTTAATTTCATTTTAATTTTCATCCCTTTATAATTTGCATCGCATATTTTTTTTAACTTTTTAATTATCTTGCCTTGTTTTTAAAAAAAAATTCGTAAATTTTAATTAGTTTGCTGTATTTCTTAATTTGCTTCAATTACTTTTTAAATTTCTCATGGAAAGTTATGATCATGGCAAAAAAATAGCCGTCACCTGATGTTGTTCTTGCAGTCGAATAAGATTGAAATGTTGGAAATTACCTCAGCAGAAGGTTTTAAGTGGAGAAATTTCAATATGACAATTGTGCCAAAGACCGTTTAAAACATTCTCAAAAATACGTACAAGAACTGGAATTTAAAGGAAGAACTGCTATATTTATAAGGGAAGAATTTTCAATATCAGAAAGTGCTTATGTATAGACAATGTGGACAAAGAATCAAAACTTCATGGTAACTGTCAATGGCACGATTCTATGCGATCTTCAGCTCAAAAGCCACTGCTATATATATAGTGTAATGTGTGTGTATATATATATATCTATATATAGTGTAATATGTGTATATATATCTATATATAGTGTAATATGTGTGTATATATATATATATATATAGTGTAATATGTGTATATATATATATATATAGTGTAATGTATATATATATATATATATATATATAGTTCACTAAGGGATTTCGAGTTTCTTTTATTTAAAGTTAACTCTATGATTTATTTATGGTTATCTGCGTTGCCTAGAAGGACAACATAACCCAAAAAACGCCATACTGTAATACTCTAATAAACTTCATTCGCAAACTTAAAACCAAAGAAAAATACATAAAACAATTAATTGAACAAAATAATAAATAATATATATGTATATTTTGCATTTCCCTCAACCACCCAAACTGCATAAATTAACATTCTAGAGGTCATGACCACAACTAAATAGCCCTAATTATCATAAATAACCTCAGCAAGAAACTGCAAAAGTAGTCTATATATCCATAGCCTGCTATATATATATATATATATATATATACAACCTGAAATGACTATATATATATATATATATATATATATATATATATATATATATATATATATATATATATATATATATATATATATATATATAACGCATTGCTCTTCAACCGAATTGAATTGAGCTCTCCGGGCCACTGACATATTTCGCATAGAAAACGTTAATTTCCCTTCCTTGGGGTAAAATCTGACTGATACCAAATCGGTCGGGTTTCGATCCCGTTTGAAGCAATCGGGTGGCTAGCCACACTGAAGAGCTGTGATACAGCGAAAGACTGTGTGTGTGTGTGTGTGTGTGTGTGTGTGTGTGTGTGTGTGTGTGTGTGTGTGTGACAGTGCTTTGGAACGCATTTCACACTTAAAAAAGAGATCTAAGAGTGAAGGCCAGCAACACTTAAATGGATCCTAATTCATCAAAAAGATAAACTTGAATAACAGGACGAGAATAATCTACTTCTGTGACTCATTTGAAAATTTCCAGAAAATTAGCAAATTCGACAAACATCTAAAAATGTCAGACGATTTAACGGCTAAACCGTAGTGACTATAACAAACAAAAGAATGAGTTTAGTTTGAATGAATCAGACGATAATATTTTCCCTTAATTTTCAAATATTTTGGTAAAAATTTGAAACTTAGAACGTTCACCATATTTAGTATGTCATGTCATAAATCTTAATTTTATAATTTTTGTTTTCATATTTTTTATTTAAGCAGATTAAATTTTTCTTTGTTAAAATATATATTTGTACCCACAGTATTTTATAGCGAATTGAATATATATTTTTATATACGTAGGTACATTCATAAGTCCGTAGCCTTAAGATGAAAGGTTTTATATTAAACAACAAATGTTTATTTTTAACATAATCTCATTTCAATAGGGTTACTTAGTTTATATGTAGAGGTTGTGTACTGTGTGACCGCGACATTCACAATAACCAAGATTCTTCAAACCTTATCTAGAAGTTTTTGTTAAAAACATCGCATTATCATATTTTTGATCATTTCTAACTTTTTCCAAAGCTAGAATTACCGTTGATAAGAAAGAACGTGGACGAGATTAGAAAGAAGGAAGATGATGGTTATCTAGACAGATGAGTGTGTGGAATATTTTGAAAAGTGAGTAGGACGCTGAGACAAAAGGTGTAATTTGAAATGGAACTAAGGCGCCACTACCATATATGTTTTGTTTTGTTTTTGTTTTTGTTTGTTTGTTTTTTGCTTTTGTTTTGTGTTAATATTAAATGGCAGCATAATTTCCAGACAAACATATAGATAAATATTTACTAAACTAAATCAGGAATGGCAGAATGCAATAGATGTGTGAGGATCGAACTCACTACACAACTAAGCAGGGTTGCCAGACTAATTTGCCATCCATTACGTTATAATAGATGCCGTGTGTGTATAAGCGTATGTGTGCATGTTTTATTGACATATATGTGTTTTTCTCTCCATGTATGTGCTGTGTCTATGTACATGACTTTGATGGATTTGTACGCGCACCTACGTGTGTGTGTGTGTGTGTGTGTGTGTGTGTGTGTGTGTGTGTGTGTGTGTGTGTGTGTGTGTGTGCTTGTAGTTCTCCTTTATACTCCGACATTGATTCTTCGTCATTTCACTTCCATTTCTTCAGTGGAGGCTCAATAAAATTTTGCATCGACCGACCGCATTTCAATCTCTCTTTTCAGTGATCATCTTTCAACAGAAAAGTCTCTATTGATAATCCTACCACCATTCAAGAATGGCAGGAAAAATCGAAGCCAGGGGAAAGGGAAGCGCTGGCCTCCCCTACGTCTCGGCCTTGGCGGGCAGATGGCGATAAAAATACTCTCAACTTGATAGTATTTTAGACGATAAACATTCTTTCGTGAATTACAAACATGAATTCAATAATTCCATTGCAAGTTGTATTTAATATATAACCGGTAAGCCGAGTCGCAAAGATCAAGAAAAGGACAATAAAAAAAAGTTTAAAAAAGAAATGAAGATATTAAATTTCGCTTCTTTAAATTAGAAGGAAAAAACAAAGACAAGAGAAAAGAACTCAATATCTTAATCTTTGATACAACGGAAACTATTGCGGTTTTTAGTATAGCTTATTTTTTTTTTTTTTTTTTTTATTTCCTTTTACTTCTTTTTTTACTCTCAGGCAGTTGAATATGAAAAAAAAATATAAACTTTTTACTTGCATCGGCTTCAAAATATCGACTCTAAGAGCAATATTTCTGTCGAGTGCTTCCAAATATTACTTTTTATTTTTTTTGAAGAAAAATCGGCAGATGGTGAATTGAAAAGAAAAATCTTTGGGGGTTTTGGCTTGGAAGATATTACGTGAAAAACAAAAAATATAGAACCAACAGAAAAACAAGATGAAATAAAAATTTCTTGGGTTTTATTGCCGACAAGTTGAATTCTACTGGAGCAAAAAACAATAACAAAAGGATATATGCTGCCATTTCGAA